TATATATATATATATATATATATATATATATATATATATATATATATATTCCGTTCCTACTCCTTAATTAGAACTGTGAGTAAAACTGTAGATGGTACCTACAATACATTACAATACATTGGGGAAAGCGTTAATGTATGGACCTCTATCGAGAGACACTATACGGCAGTTATGAAATGCAACCCGTCCGCAAAGTGGTTGCACAGCAGAAAGTGCTTGACATCTTTTCCAGAGAAGTTTATAGCGAATGTGTCTTAGAAAGAAACTCTCAACTGTGTTAAGAAAAACTGGGAAGGATGCCTAATGAAATTCAGTCTGGAGCAGCTATGCCTATGTGGCTCTGTGCTGCTCAAGCAAAGGAATGGTGAAATGAGCGCGACCGCCTATGTGTTGGGCCGTCCTTCTCAAATAATCTCGCTCGACTGAGGTTACAATTAATGTACTTAATAATACACTTAAATATTACTGATATAGTTTTAGTTTTCATTTAGGCTTGTACAAAAAATATGCTGCATATAAAGCAAAAGTGCTCGCGGGTTTTATCTCGGGTTTTATGAGTTCTCAGACTTCTACGGTTTCAAAAGTGCTCGGGTTTTATACGTTCAATTAAGACCTTTTTACGAATTACTTTGGACCTTTGGTCATTGCTTTTAAAAATTCACGTCAAACGTTGCTATGCCTATAGCTTTAACTGGCAAATTTATAAATATTTTGATTTCGTGTTAATTAGAATGCTGTAATTTGAAATTGACAATTTGTCGATTTCAAAATAGTTATTAAGTTCTTTGTATGTTTGCATGGCGAAAAATATAATAGTTTTGTTTGTGGAAACACCGCGTAAATTTATTACTGCAGTAATAAATAATAAATAATAATAAATAAATAATAAATGTAATAATAATATGCAGTAATAAATTTACGTGGTGTTTCCACAAACAAAACTATTAAAATAGTCATTGTTTACAAATTTATATATTATATATTTTTATTTAATTTTCCCCATGCATGACACCTGCATGTATAAAAAAGCTACTTAAAATATATCTTTAAGGTCTAGATACCTACTAGAAATCTTCGTAGTCCGTAGACTTTTTATTTAGAACTCTGACTATACTGTTCATTTGTGATAATTAAATCACATAGACAATTATTTACAGTGAATTTTGTTGTTTGTCACAAAATAATTTTTAATGAAATCTGGTAAATTATTACGCTGGTGGTACCGAAGCATAAATAAGGCAGTTAAATAGTCAATGATTTAAGAGCAATGCCTCTGGTGTTCCACTGTTCCCTAAACTACCGCTCTGGAATTTATATATCAAGCATTGTGTGAAGTCGCCCATTATTTCGTATTTCTACTTTCAACGATCATCAGAAGAATGCGATGCGAACAATAATTAAAGAAAAATTAGATGTGTTTGTCAACTCGCCTACTACAGGCTTCGGTAAATCGATTTGCCTCTCATGTGATATGACAAGGTGATATGATCGCCTGTTCACGTCATACGATGCCATGTTTCGGAATTAGTAAATTTAAGCGCGTACGAGTTCCTGATTTTGGTACTCAGGCTGTGATTGACTAAACAATCGGAATGGAATGTGTTGTTGCAGTAAGCAGCCTGTTAGTGGGGAGAAAACCTCGGACCCGCGAACAGGCTGCGTAGGGGACTAAACATTCCCAGGCCTTTGACTACTTTTTTGGATATATAGTTTACGTGTTCTTGCCACGATAGATTTTCATCAATCAAGATTTTGTTACAACTACTCGCTTTAGGCGATGTCCACCGCGATAGATATCTTAGGATCTGATGTCAACGTATTCATTCGGACTTTGGAGCCAATTAACATATACTCGCTTTATAAGATGTTTAAACTTAATCTGTTTGCTTGCAGCCATCTATACAAGATATCTAGATCTTTATTAAATTAAGTACGTCTGCAACTTTATTAACATTTGTATGATAAGCAGTTATATTTGTATCATCAGTATAAATATTAGGGATAGATTCAGACAAGCAGCCAGGCAAATCATTGATGTTTATAAAAAATAACAGCGGTCCAAGGATGGAGCCTGTGGTACTCCGCATGATATTATTTAGCTGCTTGAAAGAACTCCATTGACATAGCAGCATTGAGTCCTATTCGATAGATATGACTGGAACCATTTCAATTCATTATCTTTGATTCCATAACGCATTAGTTTATTCAATAAAATGTCATGGTCCACAGTATCAAATGCCTTTTTCAAATCTATAAAAACTGCTATGCCAATGTCCCCTTTGTCCATATGTTTGTACAAGTACATCACAGATTTATGCAAGGCACTTTCTGTAGAATGATTAGGACGAAAACCTGATTGGTGATCAGAAAACATATTTTCCTTCATAAAATATCCGTATACTTGTGAAAAACCTAGCTTTTTTGAAAATTTTTGAAACAACAGGAAGCACAGAAATAGTCCTATAATTACTTCTATCTTTTCTATCACCAGTTTTAAAGACAGGCGACACCTTGGCCACTTTTAAGTCATTTGGGAAAATGCCATTCTTTAAATAGTCTAGGACCTGTATATTAGTTTGTATGCGTTTCATTTAGCACAGGTAATCTCAACTGTTTTAGGGTAAAATGACCATGGCGGTCAACATGGCATATGTGCCAAAACCTGAATCCGGGACGAATGTCCTGAAAATGACCCCGCCTTGAAACGGCAGTGTCGACATAGCACTAACTTCAGAAAACAAAAAGCGATAGTCCTTCTGAAGTGCTTATAGTGTTTAGAATGGTTGCTTTTAGGGGTGGTCATTGGAAGAAAAAATTTGTCTAAGTAAATATTTCACAAGAAAATGACCATGCACCACCCCAGGTAAATTGCTAATTATGCATAAAATAACTAATATGCCCGGCAGAAATTAAATATTCTTATTTCCTAAAAAAAAATATCATGGGGTGAAAAACTATGCTTAAGTTAATTTAAATATTGTTGATATCATAAGGATTGTCATTGTTTTCTTTAAATATAATACATTTTATTTCACTTACCCCCCACGAAAACACGATTTCAGCCATATTTCGCCGTCTTGTTTGCTTTTTATCGCCGAATCTCGCAAATATCATCCAGTTATTGTACTTTTACATAATCATAAATGGCTGAAGAAGATTTCAAAGAAGGTGTCATCCATTTTAGAAACAGTGCAGTGTATTTTATCTTCGATATTGTGTCCTTCGATATTTCGTCAAATTGCCGCCATTTTAATGGCTCGCCGCTTCTCTGCCCGATAAATGCCACTTCTTCGTTTTCATATGTATTTAGATTACATTATCCAGGAGTACTTCATTGTAGAATAGTCCCAATCCAAAAATTGGAAATATTATTTGTATTTGGGAGGAAAAAACCTCCCATAATAGTTGTCCTGTCAGAATTCAAAAGTAATTTAAAAGTCACGCGCAAGTTCGCGAAAACACCTCGTGGGTTATATAACAGGGGGTGAATATTTTCACGAAACGTTTGTTCGCTACCACAGCAACCTAACTAAATGTATTATATTTTTTGTAGTTTTATAATTGATGATAAAAATACGCAAATATTTATTGGTTTTATCATAATCACAAATATACAATAAATATAATGTACTTAGTTAGGTTGCTGTGGCCTGTGGCTGTGGTGGCGAACAAACGTTTCGTGAAAATATTCACCCCCCTGTTATGTAACCCACGAGGTGTTTTCGCGAACTTGCGCGTGACTTTTAAATTACTTCTTTTGAATTCTGACAGGGCAACTATTATGGGAGGTTTTTTCCTCCCAAATACAAATAATATTTCCAATTTTTGGATTGGGACTATTCTACAATGAAGTACTCTTGGTTAATGTAATCTAAGTACATATGAAAACGAAGAAGTGTCATTTATCGGGCAGAGAAGCGGCGAGCCATTAAAATGGCGGCAATTTGACGAAATATCGAAGGACACAATATCGAAGATAAAATACACTGCACTGTTTCTAAAGTGGATGAAACCTTCTTTGAAATATTCTTCAACCATTTATGATTATGTAAAAGTGCAATAACTGGATGATATTTGCGAGATTCGGCGATAAAAAGCAAACAAAACCGCAAAATATGGCTGAAATCGTGTTTTCGTGGGGGGTAAGTGAAATAAAATGTATTATATTTGAAGAAAACAATGACAATCCTTATGAAATCAACAATATTTATGTTAAATTAAGCATAGTTTTTCACCCCATGATAATTTTTTTTAGAAAATAAGAATAGTTAATTTCTGCCAGGCATATTAGTTATTTTATGCATAATTAGCAATTTACCTGGGGTGGTGCATGGTCATTTTCTTGTAAAATATTTACTTAGACAAATTTTTTCTTCCAATGACCACCCCTAAAAGCAACCCTTCTAAACACTATAAGCACTTCAGAAGGACTATCGCTTTTTGTTTTCTGAAGTTAGAGCTATGTCGACACTGCCGTTTCAGGGCGGGGTCATTTTCAGGACATTCGTCCCGGATTCAGGTTTTGGCACATATGCCATGTTGACCGCCATGGTCATTTTACCCTAAAATACTTGAGATTACCTGTGCTAAATGAAACGCATACAAACTCATATACAGGTCCTAGACTAAAAGATACATTGAAGATAGACGCTAGTGATTCTGAAATAATCGGAGCTGCCATTTTTGTAGGAAGTTTGTCAATTCCTGAAGCTTTAGTTGCAGCTAGTTTATTTATAGCAATCAAAACCTCGTTAGGTTCAGTTGTTTTGAAAGTATAAACAGTGCTTGTTTTAGGTATGAATTTGTCCGGCTGATCTTGGATAGGTGGAATTTGATGCGCTAAATCATGTCCGACATTTGTGAAATGTTCATTGAATAATTCAGCTATTTCACTGGGTTGTGTATAATTAATGTCATTAATCACGATACTCTCAATTATAGTATTTTTTGATATTTTGCCTAGCATGCTATTTATTATCTTCCAAGTTGCTTTTGAGTTACCTTTACTTGTTTTAATATTCGAGATATAATAATTTCGCTTCGCTTCCAGAATTTTATTGTTTGTTTTATTCTATGCTTTTTGGTAAAGCTCCCAAGTGCGACTAGTTTTAGATACAGTAGCTTTTTTCTTCAAATTATCTCTTTCAAACGTGAGCTTTTTAATGTCAGGAGTAATCCAGGTCACGTCAGACACGTTTTCTTCTTTTAGGTGCGTGAGTATTTAACGTATTTAGAAATAATGTATTCCAAGTCGATAACATCTCATTGGGATCATCAAGTTGTTTAATAATATTATTCCAAAGTTGATTTGAAAAATCATATAAAAAACTTTCAGCGTCAAAATCTTTGTAATTTCTAGTCTCAATGAGTCTGGGCCTTTCACGTTGGGGGCATATTGCGATGAATGGCATAAATTAAATAGTGATCACTTATAGTAATATTAGAAACAGCAGTTGTTGTAACTTTATGTGGCATATTTGAAATTAAGTGATCAATTAAGGTACCAGAATTTTCAGTCACACGAGTAGGATTATCGATTAATTGTGTGTACTGGTACTCATCATACAGGGACAGGATAGTAGAGGTGTGAGTATCGATTTCTTTAGCAAGAATATTGCAATTGAAGTCACCTAGTATAATTGATTCTTTATTACAATCTTCAAGATTTTTAAGCAATTGTTCAAATTTGCTCATAATACTGATTTCAGATGATGGCGGACGATACCAAGTAGTTATAAGGAAAGACTTGTTTCTTGGTTCCTCGATCTCAACTGTTAGTGTTTTGTTGTCAAGTAATATCATATTTCACCAAGTAGACCTTACCGATTATTCTATTTTACCCAATTGCCTCGTTTTCATGTTAAATACTTAAGGCCCTGTTACACGGTGCAATTTTTCATGCAACTTGTCTCGCAATGCTATAAACATTGCGAGACAGGTTGCACGAAGCCATGTTACACGCTGCAATGCTAAAAATAATTAGTGCAATCGTTGCCAAAACTAGAACCGACTTCTACTCTGTGCAATGCTTCATGCAACTTGTCTCGCAACGATTTTGACCATTGCAAGGCATGTTAAACGGGGCAATGACTCGTGCAACTTGTCTAGCAACGCCATTGCGAGACAAGTTGCATGAAAAATTGCACCGTGTAACAGGGCCTTTACTCATGTTTTGTGCTTAGTAGGGTTGAAAATAACTTTTTTATTGAGCCTAAATAACAGCAAGAAACAAATTCGTCCAGGAAAACATGGGAATATAATCTTTATCTGCCCCTGACATGCTAAAATAAGTTAACATGGAAACGAAGCAATTGGGTAAAAAAGAATAATCGGTAAAGTCTATCACATAATTTGTTCGAAAATCCAATTGAACAATGTATTACTAGGCCGAACATAACTTCAGCCCCTTCAAATACATCTTTTTCGTTAATTATAGTCTTGTTCGAATCGCAATAAAAAAAGCTATTTAGACTGTTTTCAAGTCGGAATGTGTATGTTATACACATTCTAAAATAGGCCCCAAAATAGTACGATTCCAGCTCTAAAATTGTTCGACTTGGGCTGTAATCGCACTATTTTTAGCCAATCAGATTGTTCAAATCGCGTATAACCTGAAAATGAATAAAATAAAATGTGTAATATCACTTTGACTAACACTCCACGATTTAGTTCTTGGAATTAAAATCGTTTCTTCGCAACGACCTGAAAATTTTTGGGGCGAACAGTGGCAACAGTTGCATCAGATTCTGAAGGTTCTGTAGTTGGAAGATCTCCCCCATCTGGCAATTCAATCTTGTAACGATGTAATAATGTTGAAGCAAATGTAAACATCATGATCTTTGCCAACGATTGCCCTGGGCATTCTCTACGACCCAAACCAAACGGTATAAAACCTGGAAGCTTTGACCAACCAATAAACTTTCCAGCAGAATCGAGAAATCGTTCCGGTTTAAATTTATCATGCTCAGGCCATTCTCTTTCATCAAGGTGTACCTTTCTGATATTGAGCACAACTAAACAACCTTTTGGAATATGATAACCGCCAAGAGTGATGTCCCGAATAGCATTTGTCGCTGTCGTTATAACTAAACCCGACACCCTTTCAATTTCACATATAGTCGCCTGCATATATGGCATTTCATCAGGATCAACCGAAGATGGCAAGCAGCCATTTTCCATTACCGCTCTGTCCAGTTCTTCATGAAGTTTCTTCTGAATATCCTGATGACGCACCATGAACAGGAAAAACCAGGCAAGTGAAGCAGAAGTTGTATCTGCACCTGCAAAAGCGACATCAAGCATTAAATAAGGGATGTCTTCTACTGACCCAATATCTTTGCGTGACTCTTTCGCGTTTTCCTTTTCATAGGCACATATAAAACTGTCAGTGAGGTCGCGAATGACACCAGGAGTGTATGTTTGCTGATGGTATCTGAACTCCGCGGTAAGTAAATCATCCCTTATCTTTTGTGCTCGTTTTATTTCCCGTTGAAATTTCGATGGCAAATACGATAGAAACGGTATCGCTTGATATAATACGCTTATAACGGGCAATCCAACAAGAGTATCCCCAAAGTTGATTAATGATTTTATTGTGGGATCATTCAATGGTACCCTTCTTGAAGTGAGCCATTCCCATATCTGCGCATATATAGCAGACTCAAATACCTTCTTAGGGGAAAAAGGCTCTGGCCTTTGTGTCTCGATTTCTGCAATCGCTAGGTCAACTGCATGCCTAGCTCGATCTTCCGCTTGGGCGATACCACTTCCAAAAATATGTATTGCTGATTTAAATACTCTTTTGCGAAATAAATATGCCGTAGAAAAATCTGCTACTGCTAAATCGTTTCCCAAAATGTCAGGGAATGGAAACATACTTTTCGCTGATTTTCCGGATAGATCATCGTTTCTCCCGAGCCTTGCATCTCTTATGAGGGAAGAGGTACTGACAACAACAACATTTCCCATGGGAAGCGATAGACTGTATATATCTCCATATTTCTCTGCCAGGTGGCCGAATGGATTTACAGGATCACACATCATATGAGGAATGTTGCCAATGAACGGATAGGGTATGGGCCCCGGTGGCATATTTCTTCTTATCATATAAGAATATGCATACCAGGTAAACGAAATTAGAAACAGTGATACGGCGATTTCTAGGAACATTTTGTTGCATGGAATCTATAAAAAAACCATTAATTGAATAAATAGATCGTACATTTGTCCAGGTGGGAATATCAGCGCAAAATATCACACGTAATGTTCCGTTATTAGTGTAACAAGTGAATGATGTAATACATGTATCATATACTGTACGAAAAAAATAGCTTGTCATAGCTGGAGCCCACTAACTCTGAAAAGCCGGAGCATCAAAATTTCTTGTTAAATTTTCGACTCCTAGTTAGGATATTGATCCCACGTTAACTTTATGGATGCACGCAACGCCATGCTTCTAGTGCCATGCAGCCACCGCTGAGAGATTTAGTCTTTACATGCATTGATCGAATAAAATTGTTCCAATCCACTCTCTCAAGTACACCAATTACCTTAATACATGCCTAAATGGTGTCCACGCACTGCACAGCAAAAAATCATTTTCTTATTAAGAAAAAAAATTCTTAATTTAAGAAAAAAATCTTAAAATAAGAAAACAATTTTCTTAGTAAGAAAAAATTTTCTTGAAATAAGAAATTTTTGAATCCCAAGATATCTTTTTCTTAAAATAAGAAAAAATTTTCTTAATAAGAAAACATTTTCTTAAAATAAGAAAATTCGATTTTCTTACTTTCTTAATAAGAAAACATTTTCTTAAAATAAGAAAATACGATTTTCTTACTTTAAGAATATGTTCGTAAGACAAGAAATGAAATTCTTAAAATACAAAGTTATAAAATAGTAAGACATTATTACTTAAATTTTCGAAGCAAGAAAATGTAAAATGCTAGTGTTATAGGACAACTTATATCTTAACAACGTATATCTTATTGCGTCAGGTAAATTTGTAGTTTTTATTTCGAATTGAAGAGACTATATGACCAGCAGCTCACGGTTGATCAAACACTAAATGGTCGGCAGTACATTGAGTATATAGTTAAAGTTGAATCTTCAGTAATCAGTATAAGATAGATAAACCGATTCCCAATCCCAAACCCTTCTCGACTCTAACCCTAACCTCTAACCCTAACCTTTTGAGAGTTAGACCGGCTGCCGGTAATATAGTCACTTTGTTTTTATTTCTTTTCCAAAATTTGAGCTCGTTTCAGTTTTATTGAATCGTTGAAGAGAATTTTTGCACTCCGGAATTTTTATCCAAGCAGGAATAGTTCGCCATAGTTCGCGTATTCACTAAACGCCTGGTACCTAGTTTACCTTTTAGAACGCGGAGCATCGCGGGATAGCGTCGTTTTACATTTTTGTGAAAAATTTTATATAAATATCCATGAGCGCCTTCAAGGGCAATTTAAATGGCAAATAACGATGGGAAAAGCATCAGAAAGTCCTTAAAATGTTGTTCAGATACCACAGGTAAGAATAATTGTATATTTGACTTGTTATTTAAACAGATTCATTGCGAAATAATGTAGTGATTGTGACTGTTTACTTGAGCGAAGTGTGAAAATATTCCATTGAATGTTTGAATTTGCCGCGTTTGTTTTGCATATAAAACATGCAAATGTTGCTTTCAGGCAAGGGACGAAAGATTAAAATATAAATTCATATCTATTGTTGTGAATTCCGTACTAATTTACGCACTAATATTAACAATTTGACAATACTAAATTGCCTTTGACATTGGCAGTTAGCTAGACCTTTCAAATGTCAAGACTCAAGGCTATATAGTGATATGAAATAAGATATTATACATACGGATGTTTTTGAAGATCTGTTAGCATTTTAATACTTGAATAAGGATTGGAATTACAGGAGAATGACAGCATTTAATCTGATATTTTCAGTGTATAGATAGCTGAATAACTGAATTGCATCCTACTTTATTGTTTACTCTGTCTAATGCCAGAGGATTTTCCTACTTGCCTTGCCGGATAACTTGGCTACTGTAGAGAATGTTTAGTTTTCCCGACTTACTATACTTCACCCGGGAAACTCTGCAACCCTAGATAGAATGTATATGCCTTTCATTTAAAATAATAGCCCAAAAATACATACAAATCATTAGGTATATTTATAGCTTTCCTCTATTTCTAGCAGCTTATTCTTGCCTATTTTGTAATCATGTTTTTTAAACCTTTTGAATGATCCAAATTGTGTTTGTATTTTGTCATTGTGCAGCAATAATGGGGTAACTTGATTTCATATAAATAGACTGCTTTTTGTCCTGCCTGAGTGAGTAACTCACCTTGCCGGGTAACTCGCCTATACTGATCTACTGATATCCATATTTGTGTATCAGTCATCTTTGAATTTCGTGAAATGACATGTATTATCGGTATCGGCAAAGTATTGGTCTTTTATTATCAGTTATCAGAATATCTGTGAATTTCCATATATCGGTGCATCACTAAAACAGTTCAAGATTGTGTTTATATGAGAAAATGCCATCCTGCTCGCCGGGACAATTTTGTTATGTTGACATTGTTTTGACAGTTGTTAAAAATAGGTTGCAGCTCGGGATCTTGAACATTCATCCTGGCCCAGCCTGCTTGTGAGTGCATATGTGGAGAAATTTTCATCCCAATAAGCAACATTGTGGCATCAGAGCCAGCCTGCTTGTGGATCCATATAAACACATGATAATTTTTTCTAGATAAATATACCTAATGCAGTAAGATCTTGCTCACCGGGCTGTCCCGCTAAGCGGTCCAGCCCAGCTTCCATATAAATACATTGTACAGCTGGTTTAAAGAACCATGAACAGCAACCGGAAGTAAACTATACTGGCAGTAACTGTGTGATATGGTATTGGATAAGTTTTCATCCCAATAAGCAACATTGTGGCATCAGAGCCAGCCTGCTTGTGGAGCCATATAAACACATGATAATTTTTTCTAGATAAATATACCTAATGCAGTAAGATCTTGCTTACCGGGCTGTCCCGCTAAGCGGTCCAGCCCAGCTTCCATATAAATACATTGTACAGCTGGTTTAAAGAACCATGAACAGCAACCAGAAGTAAACTATACTGTCAGTAACTGTGTGATATGGTATTGGACAAATTATTACATTTCTTAATATTGCAGCTTTGGTGCGTGAATAAGGGATAATAGTCTACTGGGCACTGAGCAGGCTAACTGGGCACTTGCCACAAGAAAATGATAACTGAATCCAGGACATCTGTATCTGCCTACAGCCATGTCTCTGCTTAGGCCAAAAAAAAAAATATGTGGGTTTCCGGTTTCCCGACCCTACCTATCTTTTGGACGTCGAAATCCCGACCCTAAACTTTTTTATTGGATCATGCTTGTATGTGTTTCCACTTAGAGGAAAAAGTTTGTGGAAAATTGAAATTTGAGGAAATATTAGGGAAATTTATCTTTGGATGTGGAAGCACTTACTAAACAAAATGGCGTCCACTTATTCGGAAAATTAAAAAAAAAGTTTAAAAAAAAAAGTTAAAACCGACCTACCCTACCTAAGTTTTTATAAGAAGAAACCGGAAACCCACATATTTTTTTTTTGGCCTTAATAAAATTTATATAAAACATATGTAGTTTAATACTCCCTCATTCGTCTTCTACCAATATGAACAGGTGATTGGCCGATTATAACATTAAACAATAAACCCTTTGTATTAGATAAGAATGATATTATATTATAAATAGTATTAAATTAATTATATTAATGAATTATATTATAAATTAATTATATTATAAATAATAAGTCATAAAATTAATACTCGTCTGTCTTTTTAACATAGACAGATTTTCATATTTTTTACTGTGGTGCATGGTGCCAGAAATTTTAGGGGGGGGGGAAGCCGTGAGCAGATGACTGAAGCATCACAAAGTGTTACCATACCCCAGTAAGGTCTATATTCTAGAGATGTGAGGGGGAGTCTAGAGAGCAGAAAACAAAGTATCCCTGGAGAAATTTAAAAAAAATCATGATTCCTAGCTTTGAAAAAGTTTTTTGAAGTGGTCATATCAATGGATTTGGCATGTCCGATTGCCTGATGAGACTTGGGAGTGTTAAACGTAAAATGAACCTAATAGGCCAATACACAATATGCTTTTACCAGTTTTATAAAGTCATTGACATTGTGTCGTTTGAATCCGAATACATTTTATGATGCAACTCCGATCTAAATAATAATTGGGGCATAAAGATTAAATCTAGGCAAGTCTATTTCCTAAAAGAATTAAAAACTAAAAATAATGTTCATAAAAAATCCAAATGTTCCTTCCGAGCAAGCTATTTGCATGAGAAGACACGGCAAACTCTATTCAGGGGAGATAATAGTGTTTCAAAACTTTACAATTGCTCCAATAAACCAGTGAATGCACTGTCTTTTTCTATTTGAGTGTACTCCTACGTTTATTTTATATCTTCAACACTCTGCATGTTGGAGTGGACTATTTAATTATTTTTTATTATGCCAAATGTTGGGGGGGGGCGGGTGTTGAAATAGTTTTTTGGAGGGGTGGTCATTTTGTTTGGGGGAGGAGTTATAGCTAATATTAGGGGGGTAGCACACACCCCCCCCACAAAATCCGTCTATGCTTTTTAATCTAGTTAACTTAGGTAACTGAGGAGTGATTCAGATTAGCAAGCAAGTCTCCAGGTCTATTGTTCTTGCAATTTTGTATAGATACAGTATAGCTATTTCAATTAAGGTTGTCCCCCAAGCAAAGCAGAAAAGTCGAATACAAGCAGGAAAGTCTGCTGAAAATCGCTAATAAATTCATTTATATTTCTGTATACACCACATATAATACTTAGAGTGATGCTTACATTCTCAATATGTAAGTAAACTTTTACACATTACTAGCTGTATAAGGATGTATATATGATGGATCTCCAGTGGCATTTGCATGATGTGTTTGGAACAGTGTTTAATGTGCATTATAAAGAAATCTATGGACTTTGAACAAACGGTTTGTCAGATACTGTAATATTGCTTGTCATGTGGAAAGACTTGAAAAATTACTGCTTCAGGTCTTCAGGAGAACTTAAATTTGCTACAACACATTCCTGTGCAATCAGAACTACACCTAGTTGTGCAACAGTGCAGCTGAAAAAAGAACTTGTATAAATTGACAATAATTTGATGTTTTGTATGTTACTCTGAGTGTATATCCACACCCGGCAGGCTAAAAAGTTAGCCTGACCATGGTGGGAATCGAACCCGCAACCTTTGGGACACTAATCCAATGCTCTGCTAACTGCGTATACACTCAGAGTAACGTCAAAAACAATATTCACCTGAGTACCTGTACATATAAACACACAAACAACACATTCTTAATAAGAAAATTCTTTTTAAGAAAAATTTCTTGATTTGAGAAATTATTTTCTTAAAATAAGAAATTATTTTCTTATTTTAAAAAAATTTTCTTATTTCAAGAATTTTTTTTCTTGGGAGAATAACAAGAAAATTTTCTTAATAAGAAAATTCATTTTAAGAAAAATTTCTTGTTTTGAGAAATTATTTTCTTAAAATAAGAAATTATTTTCTTATTTTAAGAAAATTTTCTTATTTCAAGAATTTTTTTCTTGGGAGAATAACAAGAAAATTTTCTTAATAAGAAAATTCTTTTTAAGAAAAATTTCTTGTTTTAAGAAATTATTTTCTTAAAATAAGAAATTATTTTCTTAAAATAAGAAATTATTTTCTTATTTTAAGAAAATTTTCTTATTTCAAGAAAACTTTTTTCTTGGGAGAATAACAAGAAAATTTTCTTAATAAGAAAAAAATTTTTTTGATTTGAGAAAATATTTTCTTAAAATAAGAAAATATTTTCTCAATTTAAGAATTTTCTCTCAAGAAAATGTTCTTAATAAGAAAAATTTTCTTAAGAAAATTTTCTTATTAAGAAAATTTTCTTGTTATTCTCCCAAGAAAATATTTTCTTATTTCAAGAAAATTTTCTTAAAACAAGTTTTTTTTTTCTTAAAATAAGAAAATGATTTTTTGCTGTGTAGATAGATTATATCTATATATAATCTATCTATATATATATAATCTATCTATATATATATAATCTATCTATATATATATCTATATAATATATATTATATATATATATCTATATATATATATATATATATATATATATATATATATATATATATATATATATATATATATATATATATATATATATATATATATATATATATATATATATATGTATATATATATAACAATTATACCATCAGCTCGAGTCATATATGAGCGGCTATCAACCATTTCTTATTAAGAAAATTTTCTTGAGAGAAAATTCTTAAATTGAGAAAATATTTTCTTATTTTAAGAAAATGTTTTCTCAAATCAAGACATTTTTTTTCTTAATAAGAAAATTTTCTTGTTATTCTCCCAAGAAAAACGTTTTCTTGAAACAAGAAAATTTTCTTAAAATAAGAAAATAATTTCTTGTTTTAAGAAAATAATTTCTCAAAACAAGAAATTTTTCTTAAAAAGAATTTTCTTATTAAGAAAATTTTCTTGTTATTCTCCCAAGAAAAAAAATTCTTGAACTAAGAAAATTTTCTTAAAATAAGAAAATAATTTCTTATTTTAAGAAAATAATTTCTCAAAACAAGAAATTTTTCTTAAAAAGAATTTTCTTATTAAGAAAATTTTCTTGTTATTCTCCCAAGAAAAAAAATTCTTGAAATAAGAAAATAATTTCTTATTTTAAGAAAATAATTTCTCAAATCAAGAAATTTTTCTTAAAAAGAATTTTCTTATTAAGAATGTGTTGTTTGGGTGTTTATATGTACAGGTACTCAGGTGAATATTGTTTTTGATGTTACTCTGAGTGTATATGCAGTTAGCAGAGCATTGGACTATAGTATCCCAAAGGTTGCAGGTTCGATTCCCACCATGGTCAGGCTAACTTTTTAGCCTGCCCGGTGTGGATATACACTCAGAGTAACATACAAAACATCAAATTATTGTCAATTTATACAAGTTCTTTTTTCAGCCACTGTTACACAACTAGGTGTAGTTCTGATTGCACAGCAATGTGTTGTAGCAAATTTAAGTTCTCCTGAAGACTTGAAGCAGTAATTTTTCAACTCTTTCCACATGACAAGCAATATTATCTGACAAACCGTTTGTTCAAAAAGTCCATAGATTTCTTTATAATGCACATTAAACACTGTTCCAAACACATCATGCAAATGCCACTGGAGATCCATCATATATACATCCTTATACAGCTAGTAATCTGTAAAAGTTTACTTACATATTGAGAATGTAAGCATCACTCTAAGTATTATATGTGGTGTATACAGAAATATAAATGAATTTATTAGCGATTTTCAGCAGCCTTTCGTGCTTGTATTCGACTTTTCTGCTTTGCTTGGGGGACAACCTTAATTGAAATAGCTATATATATACAAAATTGCAAGAACAATAGACCTGGAGACTTGCTTGCTAATCTGAGTCACTCCTCAGTTACCTAAGTTAACTCCTTAGATTAAAAAGCATAGACGGATTTTGTGGGGCGGGGGGGGGGTGCGCTCCCCCCCCAATATTAGCTATAACTCCTCCCCCAAACAAAATGACCACCCCTCCAAAAAATATTTCAACACCCCCCCCCCAACATTTGGCATAATAAAAAATAATTAAATAGTCCACTCCAACATGCAGAGTGTTGATGATATAAAATAAACGTAGGAGTACACTCAAATAGAAAAAGACAGTGCATCCAGTGATTTATTGGAGCAATTGTAAAGTTTTGAAACTCTATTATCTCCCCTGAATAGAGTTTGCAGTGCCTTCTCATGCAAACAGCTTGCTCGGAAGGAACATTTGGATTTTTTACGAACATTATTTTTAGTTTTTAATGCTTTTAGAAAATATAGACTTGCCTAGATTTAATCTTTATGCCCCAATTATTATTTACATCGGAGTTGCATCATAAAGAGGGCCCCCTATACCCCTTCACAATATGCTTTCACGTAAAAATATTTTGCCTTTTCACGAGTTACGAAAAATTGAAAAAATTCCTTCACGTTCACGGAAAAATTGAAGCGATCACGATTCACGTAAAAATAAAATAAAATTCACGAATTATTATAGGATGTCTTCCTTAATTGTAGAATCATTGTACTCGTCTGTACTTACCTCGGAATGCTTTCAAACCTCCAAGACCTCCAACTATGTGGAAAAGAGGCTTCTGTTTATAGTAATAGAACGTCCTGAACGAGTTGTTTTTAAAAATGATGTTGTTTCACCTTCTTCGCCGCTTGACTCGCTTTCCTCTGTATCACTAGAACCATTCTCGTCGCTGTACTCATCTTGTCCATCCTGACCATTCTGGCATTCATCGACTTCATCAAAGCCAGCAAGCCCATCTAGATCATCTACTTGGTGAAACTGTATCCTTTGGCCAACTGGATTGTGGGTTTCGTACATATTAAGCGGAAGGGTCCCAGCTTTGTACTTGGTAGTTTCTTGCCTAACTGTACGCTGACGTACGCTTTTCCCGTTATCACGTGCCCATTCTCTCATGTATTCTTGGTTCTCGTCACTCATCTCAATGGGTGGTAAAGGTGGAAGAAACGGGATATCCCAAAACATAATGGAATTCGATGGTATGGGATAGTAAGACTGGGGCTGCCCAACGAGTTGTTCTTTTCAGAACCTCTTTCACAGTGTTCCCAAATGACCTGGCATAATCAATAACATGGGCACCTGCTTGATGCTTGTGGTGATGCGTGGAATGAATCGATTCCACTTGACCGGTCATACAACTTGCCATATCTATTTGGTAATCTTTATTCAATATCTGGATGTTTTCATTTAATTTTTGGACACCATCTGCAACCATTCGAACGGAAGTAAGAGTTTTTGAAGAGACAGTTCCATCTGGGCCATTTGTGGTATTCTTTCCAGTAAGCGCCTTTACTTTGTCAACGGACAATGTGATGTAATCCGCAACAGATTTTAGGTTATCTCCACATACGACAGTTGGTAATGGTGCTAGGAAATTGTGCTTCTTATGGATAGAAAATGCTCGAAACATTTTCCCAATGGATGAAAGAAATTCACATGTTCCTTGCAGTCCCGTAATTTAAACTAACTTCTCCATTTTGGGAATCGCAGAGAAACAGATTGGTATCCAATTCGGAACAAAGACCAGCTGGCTGCATAAAACTAGCAAATTTGGCATTTCCCTTCACGTTTCCTTCTTTACCATTTCCTGCTAAGATGGATACACCAGACAAACAATGGTACTGCTTTATTTGGTTTGTCTTAATATCAGAAAAGGCAATCCCGTTCTTGTATGGAGCAATTCCATGTACTTCGCAATTCGGCGAGTTTCGAACCAAACACGTAGGCAAATTAGATTCGAGGTTCACTTGGAAAAGCCCTCCATAGTCGTCTTGCCCTTGAGGTCCCACTGACGAAAAGAAAAGACTGCCAGTGGAAGTGGTCATGCTAACAACCTTGATGTCATTCTGAGGGTAAGTGAAACTCTGTGTGACACTGCCAACGAGACCCACACCATCCTTCTCTATAAGAACTTGGTAAACTTTTTGATCAACGTTGCTACCTACAATTAGGATTTCATCTGACGCTGAACATAAACAGTCAACCGTATGGATATCTTTATTTAGATGAACAATGTCCGTCCGCTTTTTGACAGAAGCATATTGAGCTCGTAATTTTTCATTTTCTATGTTCAATTTGTTCTTGAGCTGAGTGACATTTCCAGTGGCTTCAACGCCTCTCTTCGTAAGTTCGGCAATAAGTTCAGCTTTCCTAAGAGACTGGACTTTGATAGATAGTTGACTTGTGTGTTCTACCACAATGATACCATCGGCAGAACAAACAAACACAAAACCATTGGTCACACACAATGACTTAGCGCTGGGTAGCTTTTCTTTCATTACTGTTAAACGAACTGGATTATGCAAATGATCTTAACAAGCTTACTATGTTCCTTCAATTCAAAGGAGAAAAATCTAACATAAACAAAATTCCACTGCCTGCGTTTGTAATATCCACCGGGTGAGGAAAAGCACCAACTTTATTATCTTCTGTAAACTTGAATCGCTCAGGCACAAGAGCATGAACGGCAAACTCAACATTTTCAACAGCACGAATAAAATTTTCAGCCGTAAGGTCAAGAATGGGGTCAACTGCCATGCGATCCTTGTTTCGTACTGCATCACCGTCTTTAAGAAGTTTTCTAAACAACTTCCTAGTTTCGGGATCACTATCATCTCGCAATGTTCTCAGAATGGCTAAATTTGAACGCTGACCGTTAAGAAGAATGTACCAGTTGCAAAATGAACACTTCAAACTCTTTCCAACATGTATAGCATCAGGTAATCCGATCATGAAAGCAAGCTCTGGTTCGATAGTTCCATCCAGTACTTGACTGTTGATCTTTTCCAATGCTTTCTTATTGCCTTCTTCGCAATCAGTAGTATACACGCATGCTGCCAATTTCACACATTTTTGCCCTTTTTCCAAACACTTTTTGCACGCTCTACATGCTGGAAAATAGGAAACGTGACCTTTTGCTACACAGTCATCACATACTCTTTGTTTGACCCAGCAATCGTTGCAAAAACAATCGCATTCTTTTGGCTCTACATCGATGACATGTTCTACGGTTTTTGCTTGAGATAGGCATCCTTGGCAAATCTGCACTGTTTTAGCTTCGGATGTAAATTTTTCTCTCATGTATACCGCAGTCTTACCAGTTTTTGGCATGTACTCCACTGAGCAAGGCATTGAAATTTCATTGTCCAATGTTGTCAAAAAAGAAACGCTTGCTTCAGTCACCACCGCTTCTTTTAGGAACTCAGATGATGGTTGCGGATTCTCTAGAACGAAGGCAAGATCAACATCAACATTGAGTCCAACAACTCTTTTCATCCGCTCATCGAATCGAAGACCCGGCTTTAAAGCAGTGCCATCGTTAGCTATTGCAATTGGAAACACTTTTACTAGGGCTGTGTCCACGAGGGAGTTCACTTTGGAAGATTTGTCTGCAAGCGTAATCGCCGTCGTGATAAGATCTTGGAGAACACCACTTTTGACAGTGTAACCTGCCTGGCGCTTTGCACATGTAGCTGAAGATGGACCGTGAAAGTTTCCTCTTTTAGCTTCACTAACAAAATGGCCTTTGCCCTTTCTTCCTTGCCCATGCCAACCCGGCCCCCTTAAGAAATTTTCAGTGCTTTCCCCGCCAAGATATCGAATTGTATTGAAAAATTCAATCACCTCGTTATCGTATCGATGGGAGCGTGGGTAAACAAAATTAAAAACCACATCTTTGATGTGTTTATAAAATATGTCATCCTTGGATATAATTCCACTTCGTATTAAACAATCAAGCTTCACGCACACGTCATCTGCTTCCTCCACCCCTACAGAAAAAACTAGGCTGTCGCTATCCACATCCGAGCCATCCGAATCTACTGAACTGTCTGAACTGATTGAAGTTGCACTGCTAAGACTACTGATTCTACTGATATCTGTGTAATCTTGCTCATCACTGCTTATTTCGCAATCCGAATCCTTGAGAAGTCTACAAATCAAAAGTTGTATGGATTACATATATGTGCGTTATGTACGTCTCTTACTTGTTGCTGAAACAGTGAAACTATCTAAAGATCCAGGTGATTATATTCAATAAGCATTAACTGTTTTTGAGGTAAAACTGTATTTACATCATAGACATCATAGTTTTTTTCTAATAGTCTCTCTAAAATATAAAGCCTATAAAGTGTCATTTATTTGCTAATGTAAGCACGAAAACCCTCTCTTGTATGTTTTCAACATCAAGCAAAGACCAAACGTCTTAGCTACTTCAATTTTGGAACTTGAGCTGTAACAAAAGCAATTAAGTAACATACTGCATACGCATAAAAAGTAGCGTCAATAAATTGTCCCCTACACGTTTTGTGTCTCGCTGCCATGACTGCCATGACCGTCTGTGATAACCAACTCATTGTCCACATCTGAATCTACTTCTTCAGTTCCAACCATTGCAGGTTCATTTCGTGGTTTTTTCGTTACAAACTTTTCGATACTTTGTGACTTGCGCTTTCTATCTCTCCCCTTCCTTTTTTGGCACATGTCAAAATGTTCTAAAATATATAAATTGACTGTTGATCTCCCAACAGAGTGTTTGAATTCCTTTACAGACTTTACAATGCATTTATAGCCTAGAATTGTGGGAAAATAGACCAAAATTTAAGGTCCTGTCTACAAGTTGTGATTAATTTAAACTGCTAGAAATGTCAGAAATTCCATCACGATTTTTGTCACTAAACACCATAATGACCATACAATGGTCTACAATATTTCACCGAATGCTTTGCATATAATAATTGTTTCTTGAAGTATTAGTAGACTTATAGTAGTCAAGACTACTAATTAGTAATTAAATTTATTATTTAAATACTCTGTATTGGTTCTACAGTACACATTCTGGAACTTCCAAAAATTAGGAAAATCACTAATGTGAGTATTTAACTTACTGGTCTTGAAATAACGGACTTTTCCTTTAACCTTGCGATCAGTGGGCAAAGAGATCGGACTTCCACAATTAACACATTGTGCACTTATTTCATTTACTTCATTGGCACATTCTTTCAATTCTATAAAATAAGCAATAAAAAACAATGGTCTATTAGCATGCACAGTATAAATATATGAATATAACTAAATATTTAATTAATTATACACACCTCTTCTCAAGCTTTCTAGTTCATTTAACTGACGCTCATTCCTACCAATAACCTCTCCACTTTGCAATGCTTTAATTAGGTCCTGGTCTTCTGTTGTGGTTGTTTTTTTTGGTCTACCAATTAGTTGTCTCCCATTTTTGTTTTTTGGATCAGTCGTGGATGGAGATTTCATAGTTGAGGAATCTGCTTTGCTGACAAACACGTTATTTCCTCTGCCCCACAAGATGTCTTTGTGTATTAGTGTCACTATATAGAAAACAAAGACACTGATACTGTAACAAATAACCATTATAGATTTTTATACCATCCTTATAGTCAGTTAAAGTTGGTGGCCCCTTATAACAGACACATAAAACTTGCTTGCAAAATAGTAATTTAATAGTGCACAAAACACTACAGATACTTCACACTTCATCTTAATAATTACCTTGAAGCCATATATTTGGTTTGCCATCAATTTCTTTTTCCCAAATACTCCATTGATCCTGTGTACGTACAGTAAATACTTCTGCTTTTTGGTTACGTTTACGTTTATCCATTACAGCAAGTGACAACTCATATGAACCAAATCCTTTTGACTTTGCAAAGTCATTTAAACTCATTGCTCTGGTTAGGAATTTTGGTAACTAGCATAAAAAAACATAAGAAAGTCAAGAAACAAGAAAAAAACCATATCAATTAAACGAAATGTACAGTCGTTTGTGTTTATCTATTCCACCTTGAGTTAGGGGACTCCACCAGAAGTTCTTTTGACAGTATCTTACATGTAGTACCATGGAAAATAATTGTGAATGTCATGTAATAACAATGAAATGGAACAAAAATTGTAAACAAAAGTTAAAGTGGCATAGCCAAACAAAAATGACTGTAGATTCCCTTTAATAGACATATCAATTAATAATAATGGTATAATTTCTTCACCCTTTTTGTCTTTTTGCCAATGATGTATGTATATATGTCAAATGTTAAAAGGTTTCATTAATTTGTTACCTCTCCAAACTTTTGAAGCACATTAGTTGGTATTTCCAACTTTGATTTCTCTTTGTGTATTGGGTGATTCGGGTCATTCTGTCCTTTAACATATGCCCAGAGCAGTATGTTCACAACCATCTTCTACTTAAAGTCTTAAATCAAAAATAGAAGCCAGATATATAGACTATATAGACTATATAGTCAATAGTGGAACTAATAGAAAATAATACAAGTAAGCAGGGTGGTTTAAATAATCATGAATTACTGGAAATTGTGATTAACTGATTTGATGGCTTCTTATGGACCTAAGGACCTTGTTATGTCTGTTATGGATCTTATGGATCTATGTTACAGTATATAGAAAACTTTCAAAATTAAAATATTATTAAATATAAATAATATTATTTTAACTAACATTCTTATAATAGATAGGTCAGAAAGGAAGCCGAAAAATCATATAAGCCATAACTCATACGGTCATTAATTAATGTCCATAAAAAGACTGAAAACTTGATTGTATTGATACCACAAAAGACACAGAGCAGGTTATGCAGACAGGTCAAACACTTGTGTATACTTATATTAAAAGTAATATACATATAAATATTTAAATGCCTTCCATGTCTTCCACGAGCCATTAATACCAAATATTTATATTAATATAGGTCAATATATTGGGGGTATTATGAAAGCTCATATATTATAAGACTTATAAAAGGTCATAAAATAATATAGACAAATATTTCAAATATATAATATACTATGGTGTTTACTATTACTAGTGAATTACACAAGATAAACAATAAATATGAATATCTTTCACGGCTAATAAGTAATCTACATGAATAGTCTAAATAAACTGAATAAATAATAACTTACCGATAAACAAAGACAACAAAACTGTCAAAAGGATCTATGAGCACATGTTTGTGACCTTTTTGTGTTGCGGCGCTTGACGGTAGCGTTTTCCGCCAATACGCCCGCTGGCAATGCAGTTCGTCCATTACTAAATTTCACAAATTTACATTACATCAAGTACTTAAAAAACAGCAACAAACCGTATTCAGTCTATTTATTCCTTGGAAAGCTGATCACACAAAAGGTCACAAAACAGATGATTCACGAATTAGGTTCATTTTACGTTTAACACTTCCAAGTCTCATCAGACAATCAGACATGCCAAATCCATTGATATGACCACTTCAAAAAACTTTTTCAAAGCTAGGATGCATGATTTTTTTAAAATTTCTCCAGGGATACTTTGTTTTCTGCTCTCTAGACTCCCCCTCACATCTCTAGTGCTCCACCTCTAGAATATAGACCTTACTGGGGTATGGTGACACTTTGTGATGCTTCAGTCACCTGCTCACAGCTCACCCCCCACCCCCCCCCCCCTAAAATTTCTGGCACCATGCACCACAGTAAAAAATATGAAAATCTGTCTATGTTAAAAAGATAGACCAGTATTAATTTTATGACTTATTATTTATAATATAATTCATTTATAATATAATTCATTAATATAATTAATTTCTTATTATTAATTTAATATAATATAATATCATTCTTATCTAATACAAAGAGTTTATTGTCTAATATTATAATCAGCCAATCACCTGTTCATATTGGTAGAAGACGAAAGAGGGAGTATTAAACTACATACAGTAGTTTTATATAAATTTTATTAAGCAGAGACATATGGCTGTAGGCAGATACAGATGTCCTGGATTCAGTTATCATTTTCTTGCGGCATGCCCCCAGTAGACTATTATCCCTTATTCATGCACCAAAGCTGCAATATTAAGAAATGTAATAATCTGTCCAATACCATATCACACAGTTACTGACAGTATAGTTTACTTCCGGTTGCTGTTCATGGTTCTTTTAAACCAGCTGTACAATGTATTTATATGGAAGCTGGGCTGGACCGCTTAGCGGGACAGCCCGGTAAGCAAGATCTTACTGCATTAGGTATATTTATCTAGAAAAAAATATCATGTGTTTATATGGATCCACAAGCAGGCTGGCTCTGATGCCACAATGTTGCTTATTGGGATGAAAATTTCTCCACATATACACTCACAAGCAGGCTGGGCCAGGATGAATGTTCAAAGATGCCGAGCTGCAAGCTATTTTTAACAACTATCAAAACAATGTCAACATAACAAAATTGTCCCGGCAAGCAGGATGGCATTTTCTCATATAAACACAATCTTGAACTGTATTAGTGATGCACCGATATATGGAAATTCACAGATATTCTGATAACTGATAATAAAAGACCAATACTTTGCCAATACCGATAATACATGTCATTTCACAAAATTCCAAGATGACTGATACACCAATATGGATATCGGTACATCAGTAGGCGAGTTACCCGTCAAGGTGAGTTACTCACTCAGGCATGACAAAAAAGCAGTCTATTTATATGAAATCAAGTTACCCCATTATTGCTGCGCAATGACAAAATACAAACATATAAATTGTATTAACACTCGTCTTCTTTAAGTCTCCCTTTGTGCCTCGTGGCCAAAATTGAAGTTCAAACAACGCACAAATTTATTCGACATATGACATATCTGAAAGTCTTCGATTCGCAAGGCAATTTATATCGCAAACCACAACAATATTGGCAATATTGTCTACCACGCTTGAATTAGACAAAAGCGCATATAAAATATATTTAACTAGATAGCTTTACCCAACACTATTACGTCTATTACACAGTTTAATGTTTTATTTATAGAGTATTGAAAATCGGTCTCGACGGCTGCAATGTCTTGGTCTTAAAGTAAAATCATTACTAAGATGCTTAAAACAATCTAAACGTTTGATAATAACAAACTTACAGCGAAGCCTTACAAATTAAAACAATCAATCTGTATAAACAAAATATCAACATAACACTAGTTAATTATGAGTTATGGTGCCAGTTATGAACTTACTACCATGCATTGAAAAAGTGTTGACAATTAACTATATGACACGACTAACAATATATTACTTTTTAAATAATTTTCTTTGCGTGTTTGATAAATGTGGTTTGTTCACGTAATTCAGTTTCAGGAGTTTTTCTCGAGGGTCGAGGGCGGGAAGCGAGGGTCGAAAAATCATATATAAAACGTCGAGGGTCATATAAAAAAGTCGAGGGTCATCAGTAAAAAGTCCGGGGTCGTATTTCTAAAATATTTTATGGTTTTTTTTGTCGAGGGTAGAAATTTGCGGGCATTCCCTATATATAAATTTGCAAGTGGTCCAAGCACGATAGCGAAAACAATACTTTCAAGATGGCGTCGCGAACCCGGAAAAGGCGTATGGCAATGGCAAGGTGTAAACAAGTCCTGATTACTCTGATTCAATAGACCATATAGTAAATAGACAATACAATAATTTGCGACATGCAATCCGAGATAACGCAGATAATGCACCACGCCGTTTGAAACTATCTCGATTGTAACTTTTGATCGGCATGTCTGTTTTCATGTAGTAATATTTTATCATATAAAAAGTAATCGCATATAAAAAAATAATAATTGCATATAAAAATAAGAGCTAAAAATTAAAAGTAAACTAAATGAACACGAGCTAAAATTATTATTTTGTTAAATTATTAAAATGTATACCCTCAAGCTTTTCACCCTCGAATTTCTACCCTCGACAAAAAACATAAAATATTTGTAAAATACGGCCTCCGACTTATTATATACGACTCGATAAAACACTCCTACGTACGCATGTTTTAAATAGAACTTTTAATAAAGAACTAGATAGCTTTTATTAGAGATAAAAGAGATATTTTTATGTTGTCATGCATTAAAGATACTTTCATTGCCGTATATAAGCATACGTTAAAGTATATAGTTTGCGCTTAGTTAAGGCCCTGTACCCGGAGTGAACGCCTGCATGAGTAGGCGTCTTGTTATACGTAAATGACCTGCCAAATTGCTTGGATAAATCCTGTCCGGCAATGTATGCAGATGATACAAATCTTACAGTATCTTCAGATAGCATTAATAATTTGGAGGGAGCACTAAATTCTGAAATGAAAAATATTCACCAGTGGCTTCTTTCAAACAAGCTAACTTTAAACATTGAAATAACAGAATATATGATCATTGGAACCGGTCAAAGACTAGCTAAAATTCAAAAAAATACCAGTGTATCATGCGGGGAGAAACTATTGAAACAGGTTTATTCCAAAAAGACTTTAGGTGTACTGATTGATGACAATCTATGTTGGAATGAGCAAATCGACAACATCAGTAAAAAGGTATCGAAGGGCATTGGTATGCTGCGCCGTGCAAAGCCATTTGTTTCTTTTGAAACTCTTAAATATATTTATCAGGCTTTAGTGCAACCGAGTTTTGATTACTGCTCCATGGTTTGGGGAAACTGTGGCGAAGGTTCAAAAGAAAAGCTACAGTGACTACAAAACCGTGCAGCTAGAGTAATCACAGGTGATGCTTATGAAATTCGCTCCACTGATATTTTAAAGAAATTCAGAAATTGGAAAACACTCGAAGAGAGAAGAAAGGACGCAAAAATTAGCATATGTGGCCAAAGCCCTTTTGGACCGATGGCGCAGGCAACATTAGACAAACAACAACAATGGTTTGGTTTTCTTATTATTAAATTATACAAACACTAAATTTGCATAAAATATGTATATATAATCTGAAGCTATAAGATAAAGAAGACAAAGAAAATTACGACTATGTTTACAAATATAAATACAATACATTACGTTACAATTACACTGTTTTTAACTTACATTTGTCCAAACCACTGATAAACTTTAAAACCACAAACCTAACTTGACTTTTCCCGGTTCAAAACATTAATTTTTAGCCATGGGTGTACCGGAAGGAAAAATTTAGGGGGGCGGAAAGAAATTTGCCCGACTTTTCCGGATTTTGGTCAAAAAAATTTTCCGGACATACCAAATTTTTCGGAACCTAACAAAAAAATTCGAAACATCACAAAATTGACCACAAAATTTACAGAATTTGTTTCATTTATTTTTATAATAAACCAAAATTGCCCGACTGTTCAGCGAATATTGCCCGACTGCCCAAAAAACTGGGGGGCACCCGCCACCCCCCCCGCCCCCCGCCCGGTACGCCCATGTTTTTAGCGTTTCTTAAGACTACTTTTATACGTACTTTTAACGTTCAACATGGCTTCCTTTTCGTGCGCTTTTTCTCAGTTCATTGCGGGCAACAATAAATATTCTACGTACGTCATGTTATTTTAGTCAAATCAACGTAACACCCATTGAACTAATGGTAACACCTTTCAAACCAATATGTCCTGAAACGTTTCAACTATGTTTAAAATCTCAAATTCTGATAAATATAATTTAAGAAGCAATAACAAGATGCTGATGTTGTCGAAGCCTAAAACAAATTCAATGAATAGGACTTTCGGATATGCTGCTGCTAAAGACTGGAACTATAATAGTAAAATTTAATTCATTTTTAATATATATTTAACGTATCACTTCGACCCAAACATTTCTTAGTATCTTTTAATATTATAATAATAGTTTATATAATAGTATTTCGAGTTTCAATCTGTATTTAGTAACACGGCCTAATGTAGCCCGCGTGCAGGCCCAAGGGAACTGATAGTGGGCCTGCAAGCAAGGCCCGGTATTTTGTAAAACGCCCTTTTCATAACACGCCCCATTCGCGCGTCAATTGTCAAAAAAGAACCAATGACAGCACCCAAATATTAACAAACAAACTCGCATTAAAATGTTGCGGGGTTTTCTCTGCTCATTGAGAACATAAGCAATGTGTAAATGGCTGCGTTTTAACTCCAAAAAAGCAAGCAACGCAGTCAGTAATTGCCAAATTTGCAAGTGCTCATTTTCAACTAAAATCGGAACAGGCAAATTAGGACGAATTTCAACAGAAAACCAGTCTCAAACTTCAAATCGTGAGGGAAGTCGTGCGACCACATTAGCATTTATAATGTGTGCTTCGCTGTTGCCATTGCTATAAATAAATTGTCTCACTTATCAGATCATGTGTGCAATTCTTGTTGGCGGCGGAAAGTACGAAATTTATTTCAGTTATTTCATTTGGTAAAGAACTCTACAAAAGAAGAGAGCGTCCAGAGTTTAGATCGTTTCGTTTCAAACGGCAATTTAATGCCGTCTTCTGTTTCGCTCTCTCAGCGAAGCCTTATAAATCGCAAAGTGTTTCGAATAGGCTTACATGCAACTGCATCTCAACATCAACCAAAAGATCATTTTCTTGAGGAACATATAAGTCATATAACGTATCAAGTATTGAAATTAATGAAACTCAAGTAAAGGTTACTATAGTTTACCAGTCGTAATGAGTGCTATTCCAACACCTCACGACAAGCAATCCCCATTGGCATAACGGCAAAAACATCTCCTTCTTCAAGTAAACAATAAACAGTCTGTTCTTGTTCCATTTATAATCGAAAAAAGTGATCAATTTTCGAATTTTAAGCTTATCGAGAGCCTTTGTGATGAATCACTTATCTAATTATAGAATCTAACAGCAAACAGCCAATCAGAATGCCGCGTTCGTGGGCGAACGCGGAAAGTATAAAATACCGGGCCTTGCTTGCAGGCCCACTATCAAGTTCCCTTGAGCCTGCTCCCTTGGGCCTGCACGCGGGCTAGGCCTAATGAAAAACAACCTTTATAATTTTTGTAAATACTTAGGTAATATGGTTGATTAGTTACCGTGTATAAAGATGTTACAATAATAATTATGAAAACTTTATTAATAGAACATTTATAGATAAATACAGTTGTAAATCTCACTTCTTGAGGTAACCTACAATTGACTACTTGAATCACTTATACATGGTTATAGTCTTATATACAAAAAATGTTAATTATTTATAGAAATAGTCACTAGTTCGGGATTTGTCCATTCTTTATTTCTACAGCAAAATATGTAGTACGTTGATCGGATGGCAATAGATATCATTTTTCTGATACAAATTGTTGGTGTTGATTATCCAGTCCTAACTCATTTAGCATTTTTACGAATGCATGGCATTCTTTGTCAAACACCCCTAGCGAACTGACTGAAAGATTTATAAATTTAACAGATGTAAAGTTTTGATCTAGTTCTCTAATTAGGTTCTTATATTTAGCTTTCTTGCGGTTAACATTGTTTGTGAGGTTTGATTCAAAGCCTACGGTAAGTTCAACAACGTAGAGGTGTTTGTCTGAAGTGGAGACAAGTAAATCAGGACGATATTCATCACCCGTAATAATCGAGGGACTTTCAAATCCAGGAAGGTCAACAAGTAATTTGCATTCGTTTAAACTTTGAAAGGATTTTGCAAGAAACTTTAGTATGCAATCGTGTCTCCAAGTAAATCGTTCCAAGTAATGTTGACAACCGGCAACAACGTGCAGAAGTGATTCAGGGTGTAAGCAGAGCGAGCAGTCAGAACTTGATGAAATTCCCCATCTACTGAGGTAATTTCGGGTAGGAAGGGTATTATTCATATAGCGAATTGTAAAGTTGAAAATGTTCTTTGGTAGCTTTGATTGCGATACCGACCAGATTGCGTTAAGTTGTGATAGGGAGAATTTAGAAACATTTTCGAAAAAGGAACCTTGAGATTTCAAACGGTCCCTAAGTTTATTTTCTTGTTGAGAATGGAAAGTTTTTAAAACTTCTTTAGTTGAATTGTAGCTATCGTATTGAATGTTAGTATGATTATTAGTTGACTTCCACATTTCGTTAATTGAATCGTTTGCAGATGTTTTTAGGGCATTGCGTAGAACTGTTTGACACTGAATGAACTTGACGGATGCAGGGATGATATTTAGACCAAACTTATTACGGGTTAGAAAGATGTTACTTGATGTTCCAGATATAGGTACTTCCAGTCATTTTCGGACGTACTTGTTCACCGGAGAATCGATATTTTCGACTACCCAAGTTTTAGATATCGTAGCAACAGTAAAATGCCAGGATAGTTTCGACAAAACATAACGACTGTAAAGTAAAATTTTGTTTTTTAGGTGAAGAGGTTTAAGATCTATTTCGGACATTAGTTCATCAATGAGGGAGATCAGTTTGGATTTATGTTTTTCATTAGTCATGCTAAAGTCCAAATGTCGTCCCAAATACTCAAATGATTCTCCAGTCTTAATCGTTGGTATGAGATCCTTAATTATTGATCAAAAGCTTCGGCAGGTACTGGACAGATTTTGATAAAACTTTTTTGATGCCAAATGTGCTATATTTATCAACTCTAACAACCATGTTGGACCATTGGCACCAGATAGAGAATCGATTAAGGAGATGTTGATTTTCCGACTACTGACCAGTAATAACCGCAGCATCATCGGCAAACTGAAACCAGTGGATTGGATTAAGGAGTTGGAGGGAGAAACCGAACTGGCGGTACTTTTCAGCTTTGATATGTTGAATATATGTGTTGAAACACATATTAAATAGTAGAGGACTAAGACAGTCACCTTGTAAAACACCATGGCCAACAAGTATAAAATGGGTACGGAACTAAGAAGTAATTACGGAAGTTTTACTGAATCAGTGTATAAGCTTTTTATTAAATTATTCATGTGATTAGGGATGTGATGAACTGATGATAGCCAAGGACAGATTGGACTCTGGACAAGGCGATCTTCACACGTATAGTCACAAAGTATTACACTCCACAAGTCGACTTGTTTGCATCTCGGCTCAATTATCATCTCGGCTCATTACCCCTCTATGTTTCCCGGCACCCAGACCCGGATGCAATGGAGGTCGATGCAATGTCATTGCAATGGAACAGATGGCCATCGTTCATTCATGCGCCAATTATAATGCTTCCCCGCATTCTGAAGAAGATACGAGAAGATCAGGCAACCTGTCTACTCATTGCCCCGAACTGGCCGGGCCAGACATGGTATCCGCTAAACATGGTCGGTGTTTACAAATCATGCATATCTCAACTACATGATCCAATAGATGGACAACCACTGGGAAATCTTCCGCTCTTATCCCGTTTCATGAAAGGTGTCTTTGAACTTCGTCCACCAACACCCAAGATATGCGTAACCTGGTCAGTTGGGACATTATTAGAGCATTTAAAGAATATGGCACCAAACAAAAACCTCTCACTTAAAGAGTTGACTCTTAAAACGACCATCCTGTTGGCGCTTACGTCTTCAGCCAAGGCTCACGAACTCGCAGCATTGCACTTGGATTATGTATACCAAAAGGAGAACGGTTGGGAGTTTGTAATACTTAAACATGTAAAGAATTATCGACCGAATCACCCAGCAAGAAAGATTTATCTTCCATCCTTACCAGAAAACCAAAAGATTTGTGTCATTGAGAGTCTGAAACAGTACGTTAATCGAACAGCTCGTATTCGCAAGGACCAGCATCTACTCGTGTCGTATACCTCGCCACACTCGGCTATTGGAAGTCAGACTGTATCACGCTGGATACGCACTGTATTGTCCAATGCAGGTATTGATGCTCAGTACACGGGTCATTCTACGCGAGCTGCGGCAACATCAATGGCTGCCGAGAGCGTTGTTCCTCTTGAGGATATCATAGCTGCTGCTGACTGGTCTTCAGCAACAACGTTCGAGAGATTTTACCAAAAGGCTATCTCAAAGGATAAGTTTGTTAAAAGTGTTTTGGCCCCGGACGTACAAAAATGGCATTACTGTTTGCATTCCAAGATACATTAGTTAACGACTTTTGGAAATGTGTTGTTGATGTTGTTTTGTGTTCATTTCAGATTAAAATTTATATTTACATTGATTAACAGTTGTCTTTGAAATCTGCACCAGTATTGGGAGTATCAGTCGGAGAAGGAGTGAAGGAGAAATAGTATTTCCTCGGAAGGTACATACCTGAAGGGGAGATATGGTTCTCCGAACTCCTTCGAAGACTGATATGAGCAATACTGGTCCCCGTACCAGTGGTGGTAGATACCTATACCACCCCACCCTAGTCTGTTAATCAATATTCAGCTTGCCACTCAATCAGAGGATGTCAGTACACATGCGTATGAATTAATTAAAATCGTGGGTTCCAAGCCGTCGCACGCCGCGAACTGCACCAGTATTGCTCGTATCAGTCTTCGAAGGAGTTCGGAGAACCATATCTCTCCTTCAGGTAAGTACCTTCCGAGGAAATACTACTTCTCCAGAGCTATAGCCACCCTTAACCTGCGAACGGGCATGCTCGGGGAACGAGATTGATCGCAATTTTACTTTACTCGATTTCTGAGTGAGTTGCGGGTCAAATTCTGATGCAAAGCCCGATTTCAATTTGATTTGGGCTGAATGTTCTGTAATTCTGTTATTCTTCTCTAAGACTATGAAAAAAGACCTTATTTGCAGGTTTTTGCAATCCAGCTCTGTATGTATTGAAAGTTTTGTTTTATACATGCAGTGCATGCATATTTCAATAACGTGTTTAATGTTTTAACAAAATATCAAATATAAAGCCTGTAATCTTGAAGAGTTATGGTGCCCCCATGGATGATTTGTTAGCATTTTACTGTTCAGTAATTCGTCCTATTCTAGAATATGGTGCAGAGATTTGGAACGGTGGTCTAACCCAAATAACTGAGACAAAGTTACAAGCCTTGGAGGAACGTATAGGGACGAATTATGCATATATCTATAATTAAAAAAATGCTGGAACCAAACCATAAACTTCATGGCCTCTCTTACCAAAGAAACTAGAATACATATTAAGGGTACGTTTTAAACATAGTCCTTTGGCTTTGGTTTACTCTATATACTTGTATAATTCTAAATTGGTTGATTAGAATCATGTTTCTTATTAAAATTTTATTAGTTAGATAATGTATACAAATATATGCATTAATAGTTTTTATATGTAACGTAAATAGATATAGATTAGAAAGATTTTAGATTTAATGAATGATATGTAAACAAATAGAATATATACCCTTTTTATATCCAAATATTGTAAACACTTTGTAAATTAGCGTAACTGCTACTAAATGTGTCAATAAACCATTACCACTACCATTACCATTACCATTACCAAATTGTAAAATATGCATTTTTAATGCGCACATGCATGGGGATTCTATAATGAAAGATATTACAATTAACAAGGTAAGACGGCGTTTGTCTTGTTTTAGTCGACTCCGCTCCCTGTGCAGTTTACAGTCATGGTTTTAAAGTTTTATTACAGTTACTCCTTACACACCTTACCGTACAGCCAGTATGGAATCCGTCAATATTTTACGCCGGAGGTTACGCCAAATGGACACCGACTAATTACGCCACATTCGGAAATATACTAATGGACGATTTTTAATGCGAACGGAAATCGCCACAAAATATCACCGGACCAGTCGGTATGAAGAGTACCATTTCAAATAAATATCCAAAAAGCTCAAGACCTTAAAATAGTACAGTCGAGATGTATTGTACAAAGCATTAACTACAGCAGCATTACGCAAACACGGTCTTTACTTCAATCTTATACCTCTTGAATTATATTCATTTTTATACAAACTTCAAGAGTATATGAAGTAGAGGCTATGTGTATATTACGGTACGCACCACTATCAGAATTAATAAGTATGGAAACTGTCCATAAATTTCTTCAATGTCGACTAACCAGTAACAACCAAAATTAGAACAACATCAACAATTAGCCATTTCCCAATCGGGCAGAGGACTGAGTATAGTTGATGTTTGAAGGGACGTTTGGAGGGACAACATGTCAACAAGTTATAGTGAGCGAGCTAAATATTGTATTAAAAGATGCCTTATCATAATTGTTGCGTTTCAGGCGGCAATAAATAACTTTAGGAATGTAGGAAAACTTCAAACAAACCAAACAAGCGACTAGACCCAGTCCTGTACTCGATTGGGAAATGGCTAATATCAATTAACAATTATCACAAGACACAAACTCTTTTATCACAATCCGTATTATTCTGTTGAATAAAACTGAATTATTTATACTTATAGTTTTTTTATAGCAGAAAAGGCAATCTGACAGTCTTGGGTCTTGCTGTCAATAACTTTGCAGTGGTGATACCTGCAAAAGTGTTAAATTCAATACGTATATAAATTTAAAATACTTGTGAAGAACATCAGCATTTTTATTATTATAAGTATATACAATATTGACTCGCCGATTTCCACGAACGGCGCTCTGAATAACAGGCAAAATGTGGGCCTTTAGCCCCTTTTCTTTGTCGCTTTTGATGTATATGTTAGCAATTTCCTTCACTGCTCGCTCGGCTGTCAATGCGGTTGGCATGCACCAGTTAATTTTTGTCCTTCAAAAATTGGATGTTTTTGGATGTTAAGTAGCTGTTTTGAAGTTTATTAGTTTAATAATCACGCAGTAAGTAAGTTAATAATCTTACACTTGATTTACAAATGCTTAATCTTTCAAGCTAAGTTTGTATTGTGAATAAAGTTGAACTGTACCTCAATGTTAAGGTTTCATTCGTAATTGGGCCCAATTGATTCTGCGATCCCATAGCGGAATACACACTTTCCACTACAGCCTCACGGTGCCTCCCTTACCAAGAGAAATGTCCACAGCAATGCATCCCTCGGGCCCAATAAGTGAATAGACCGTTTTATTTGTGTATATGGTCTCATACACTTTGTCTTCGTTAACCACAGTCAAAGCTATCTTTCCTGAAAAAGGAATAAATAAAATATATATGCACATATATTCAAAAAGCTATTATAGTTAATCCACACGAATAATTACCGTTTTGGAACTCCATTCTATAGACATTCTGTAATGGGAGACAATTTACACCAAGTTCAAGACAAGCGCGAGCTTCCGTATCATCAAGAATGGAAAAATTACAAAGGGGTTCATTAGCAATCCCATCATTTTGCCCATCATTATCAGGGAGAACATTGAACCATTGCTTCATGATTTCGCGGTACTTTTTCTCCCAAATAATCGATTTAAGGGCTTGTTTGACGTTGCGGTGCACAATGTGACTGAGTTCCCCTTTGAACAATCCATATAAATTCTTGATGTGAGGAAGACTGCAAATATAGGTCCAGAAGGACAGGTATATTCTTGATTTCCATAGTTTTCAAACTTTACCTCATCAACGACAACGGCAGTTAGATTTTTGTGACCACAACACAATGAAATTAGCTCGTCAAGGTCAACTGCTACAATTTGTTTCTGCATGCGTTTAACAGATTTAACAGAAAATCGAAGAACCATTGACTTAATCATTGCGACACAAAAAACCTCCAAGTCCACTCGGCGGTCCTTAAGATCTCGAGCACGCCATTTGGTTGTTCTAGTTTTCTTCCCATCAGACATTTCTTCAAAGACATTCTTCTCAACTTTGAGCCATCCAGGTACAACTTTTGTTCCCTTAAATTTCCCTTTCCTGATATCTCTTATATTATTTGATGTCAATGGAAGGTCAGGAGAATCAAATGAAATTGGAATACATTTCTGGATACGTTGTCTGACTTTTGGCCACCAAAGGCAGATTTTCCACGATGGGACGGACAAACCTTGAAGACTGACTAGTAAGTCAACCATTGGCCGCATAAGATCTGTCAAAGCAAGAAGATACACCACAAAGTCTTTTCCTGCGATTTCGTACTCATCCTCATCGTAGCCATACTTTCTGAATGTATCGATATACAGAGGAAGGCTCTCAGTGAGTTTGAGGAACTCACTGTACTGCGACGTACTAAACCTGGTTCCACACGTACGGGACAGAACTCTAAATTTAACATCTTTACCGTAGGCATTATGGTTGGCAACGGACTTAACTTGTTGAAACATTTTTCCACGGTTAAACTTCGTGTGGAGTTCCATTGTTCTCTTGATAATTCTTTTGAGATATGAAAAAGCATCCTCACTGATTTTTCCATCTTTGACATCCTCATGGCCAGATCAATCCAGTATGGAGGATCCCAAATTACGACATCAAATGTGTCATCAGTGCGTGCTAAGGCTGAATATATATTATATTATTTAAAAATGACAAACTTAATCAAATTCTTAATTTCTTAGAGTTAAAAGGGGGCACTATTTATTAGATAAAGATTGTCTTAAAGAGGGCTATTAATATTAGACAAAGGGGTATGGGTTGACCTGATTAGGGCATCTGTTAATACTGTTATACAGGGTGAAGTTATCAATAAATCAATTGGGATTTATCCTTTTCTCTTTCCAGTCAAAATTCTCTTTATTTGTATGTTATATAGGTGTGTGACAAACCAAATTAAATTAAGTTAAATTGTACTGGTTTAAGCTATTTATTTATCATAGGCATTAATTAGATCATTTACCCATTATCAGATTTACCTCCAGAACATTTCTGACAAATTACACTTTTTCCAAAACCCTCTTCCTCATGAACAACAGTATTGCAGGATGGAGATATATTGCATGACATGTCAATTTACAAATTCTGCATGAATGGGCACCCGATGTTTCCTTTTCACATGTCACACATTTTAACACTAAAAATAAGACATAATACTGTATTTTATTTATATTATATTAAACCAATAAACCTACTCTTATATTATAGTTATATTACACATATTTTTCTCATTTTTGTTCTTACCTTTTTCAGCCATTCAAAGAAATTTAAATATATGCTTGATTTTCATGTAACTGAAAAGAAAGTTATATTGCCTATATTTTAATGATCTTTTGTATAAAATCTATATTCTATAAAATTAAACCAACAATTACTAGAATACATTGGTATCGAAGGAACTAGATTCTGTTCCGAAATATCACTTACTCGAACCGTCCTGACCGCGTAGCTCAGTTGGAAGAGCATTGGGCTAGTATTCCAAAGGTCGTAGGTTCGAATCCCACCGTGGCCGGGCATATTTTTTCAAGCTCGCCCGGTGTGGATATACACTCAGAGTAACACCACAAACTTCATATTCACCTGAGTACACTACACCAACACAGAAAAAATTCAATAAAAGGTAATTTTAATAAAGGCGCCGATAAAGTATATAAATTTTGATGCAAAACTGAATAGTCGGAACACAAAAATTGAAAATATAACTACGTTGATGACTCAGATTACCTAAACGAAGGTGTATTATTACCCAGAGTAAATAAAAAAACAACTTATTTCAGTTACCTTGACGAACAATGAATATTGATGAATATATAAACGGCACATGGCATGAAATCTGTGATTCTGTGTTTCCACTTTTTTCATACAAGTTTCAAAATTCAAGATCATTTCTATTTCGTCATATCGTCGATCAGTGTTAAAAAAATCAACATCATGCCAAACATAATGACCAACTGGCAATATAAATAATTTGGTATCATTATTTTTATCAGAAAATTCTTTAATCGTCATAGTTTAAGAATTTTACGGCGTTTTACGCCCCGCCGATGATCAGGTGATCATTCATTGGCTCCGCACGCCCGCCGATGGCGTAAAATAGCAATAACATTTTACGCCGGAGATATCCAGCGTAACACCTACGGATTCCAACCTGGCCGTACAGTGCTGACGTAAGTATTGTTTTCCTAAAAACTCGCGTCAGGTCGATAAGTTGCGTAATACATGAACTATATCTGCCTCTGGCTGCGTGTCAGAGCCTTCATAGCAGAGTTATCCGGAGTGTTACTATTAAAACTACAACAGTCTACAAGGGTATTTTCAATACTAATGTTCACTCGTTCATTATAATTGTTCATTATATTCGCTCATCATAGTGTTCAGTCGTTCAAAATCTGAAACATTTTTCGCACAGTCTCCAACCTTCACTTCGTAGTATTCCATTGCCCCAGAAGAAAACCACTGAATTGAAAGTTGAGTTTATTGCAACCAATGTTAGTGTCCAGATTTTAGCTTGAACTACTCCATCTAGAGTCTCGACTCGCTTACTAAACAAAGCTAAAACTAGCACGTTTGGTAGATTTAGGAGGATGGTAGAAAAAACCACAATTACATACATTTTTGAAAGTTGTAAATCGTCAAAAAGTGAGATTGCTTTTCTTGGCCGAGTGGAGTCACGTGATTCAAGTGTAGATATTGTTTCTTTTACTGTGACTGAGAACGCGTCTTGGCCAGTACGACTTGATGAACGTAATCGTGAAGTTCGTCCTTTCTTGGCCACTTTATATATTGACAGATATATAAAAAAAGTTCCTCCTAGAATAAACACTGCAAGGGCTGTGACAATAGGTTGAATGTCTACGCCAAATATGGGAGCGATTCCTGTCCCTATGGAAATCGGCAAGAGACATACCATTAGTATGAAACATCTCTCTTTAGTCACGTTTCTCATATGGCAAAATGGTCGACAAATTGACAGGTATCTCTCGATATTCATAACAAAAAATGTAAGATATGACATCCCTGATAACATAACTGCTGACGTTTGGTAAACCATTTTGTAACTACACTTCGAAGTCTGGGTAATCTCAGCTATCGAATTGACCAAATGAAGCGGATGAACGATTATTGTCACACACATGTCAATACAGGATAAGAGCATTATCATAAAATAGGTCACCTTGTTTCGTAATTTCGGTGCCTTCCAGAAAACGGCCACGACCAGAGCATTCAGAAATGTCCCTAGAATTGCTAAGATGGCGTTTACGATGCAACCAAATATGCTGTTTATAATATACGATGTCGATGGCTTGCGAACGATGTATGTCATGAAACAATTCTCGATCTCCTGCTCACCAGAGGAAACATTGAACGCTGTTGTATTCAGTGGATCCAACATACCTACTTCGTGGCTAAAGTCAGATGCGAATACATTCCCAATGCACGTTAAAGTTGGCTAAAGTTAAAGTTGGCTTAAGTTTGACAACATAATTGACAAATTCGTTTGCATTTCTTTGTGTTCAAAGTCACATGAAGAAACTATGGGTTCTCATTGGCTAATTGATTTAAGCACCTCAGTACTAAGCTCACAACACCCGCAGACTTTGAGATTTTTTCGCGCGAGGTGAAAAATATCAAACACGACAGATATTTTCCTGAAGTCCTCGAGAAGTCAATTCCTCACGAAAACTATCCGCACACGAGAGAAACTTGCTGAGCTAACTGCCACGCCCTCTTAGCTCAGCAAGAAACGTAGCTCAGCAAGTTGCTCTTAAAGAGTGCAGTTTAAGGGGTGCAATTTATCAATCTATACTTGATAACTGTTTAGTTATATAATCCATTCACGGGATTATGCAAGGTTATTTACTACACGTAGGCCCTATACATCATTATTTTAGTATATCTATACTAAAATAAACTATTTTGATAGCAAATTATAGCAAATTCTGCTTTAACAAGTAACGTATATTGTGATGTTACATGTATATATAGTAGAGAGTGAGATACACAGTGAGATATTTCAGTCCATATCTTCACTAGTGAAGATATCGATCACGTGACTTTTAGTACTTATACAATTTTTTGCTTGGAACTATATAATAAACAGAACATTACACGGTGGCTTGAAGATATGACTTTTATCTTCTCGTGTTAAAAACAATATTTTACTCACTCGCTGTGCTCGTTTGTAAAATATTGTTTTCACCACTCGAAGATAAAAGTCATATCTTCGCGCCGCGACTCAAGAGCGCGCGTGAACCATGCAACAGATACATATCACGTGGTCTGGTGATTATCTTCGAATATTTTTCATTTACGTTTGTAAATTGTGATGTGTCATGAGGCTGACTTTTAAATCCAGGTTTATTAACATGCATACACCTATATTGACTGGTAAATCTATCGCATTGGCAAACTGTTGCAAAATTCTTCGATAAATCATGAATATAGTGAAAAAATGGATAGACGTGACCTTTGCGTGCAATGCCAACTATACTTATAATTAGGCAGGAAAACCGCAATATAAGTTCAAGAACTTGAACGAACAGATACATGCCACATCGGATATTCATATATCCTCGACTGATATTTTTTTCATTTACGTTTGTACATTGTGATGTAGGCCGGTGTCAGCTTGTGCACAGCTGTGCAATATTTTTTTATTTTATAAATATGGTTTATTAACATCCAGCCATATTGACTGGTAGGTCTATCGCATTAGCAAATCCTAACTCTTTGCTTGTTTGGCAACTATTTATCAGTTAGCTAGGCAAATCACACCATGGGTTCAAGAATCAAGACTCAAGAGCGGGCGTGAAACATGCAACAAATGCATGTCACGTGCATGGCCTGGTGATTATCTTCGAATATTTTTTCATTTACGTTAGTTGTACATTGTGATGTGTCATGAGGCTGACTTTTAAATCTAGGTTTATTAATTATTAACATGCATATACCTATATTGACTGGTAAGTCTATCGCATTGGCAAACTGTTGCAAAATTCTTCGATAAATCATGAATATATATATAGTGAAAAAATGGATAGACGTGACCTTTGCGTGTTTGCCAACTATACTTATAATTAGGTAGGAAAACCGCAATATAAGTTCAAGAACTTGAACGAACAGATACATGCCACATCAGAGATTCATGTGTCCTCGACTGATATTTTTTTCATTTACGTTTGTACATTGTGATGTAGGCCGGTGTCAAGCTGACTTTTAAATCTGCTCAGCCTCTAAGAAGTACGGAGAAGTACGTATAATCACCAACTGTCACAAAATTCTTCAGTAAAATCATGAACAGTTAAAAAAGTGGACAGACGTGACCTATTTAATATTCGTGATATATGTCATGAATGCAACGAATATATAGTAAAATTTACTGCCCTTTTCCGGCTTTGAGTTTCCTATATTTTTCCCATTCAAGTAGCGATATTCAAAATGGTTTCATTAATTGTCTTTAATTAAACCTGCTTGTGCCACGACAAAGTATTCAAGGTAAATGTTGTTTATCTTTGTTTTCCGTTTTTACTTTCGTGATCAAGAAATTGGTGGCACAAAAGTCAAACACTACTGAACAAGGGCAGATTTCGTGCTCGACCAATCAGCGCATTTGTTTTCATTTTCGCTCTCAGCTAATCATAATATAGAATAGAATAGAATCTTTATTTCACGAGGGAAAACGTATTAACCGTAAAAGTTATCCAACATACGGCCCTCGCACTATTTTGATATTTACAGGCATAAAAAGTATTAAGGATTACGACTATTTACATTTGAGAAAAAATAATTAGTAATGAATACAATTACAATTTAGTAAATATTTACAATTTATACAAAATAGATCTTCGATATGGTTAGTAAGGGTAAGCTCGTTAAGAAAGATTTTACAAATTTTTTGTTTGGCATTAGTATATGAAGAGCAAGATGGCGAAGCAGCAAGTTACTTACAATCGCTATCTAAGCAATTAAAAAGAATGGAAGCACTGTACAGAAATGTTCATTTACCAGAGTCAGTACGCGGGAAGGGGGGTTGAAGGTCATATGCGCAAGCTCTAGTCAGAGCCCGTTGTCGAATAGAAGATAAGAATTTAAACATTTGCTTAAATGAAGATGGAGCACTGGGATTTGTGAGAATGTTAATTAGTAAGAGAAGCTTCCTAAATTTAACAAGATCAAAAATTGGGATTATTCGAATCTGGGAAAAAAGAAGAACAGAAGGAGTAGAAAAGCCAGCGTCTAGAATAATACGTGCTGCACGCTTTTGCAGTCGAAGAATGCGAAGTAAAAGTGTTTTTGAGCAGTTCCCCAAGTTACAGAGCAGTAGATAAGACTTGAATTAATACAGGAGTTATAGAAACGAAGAGCACAGTCCTTAGTTAAAAAGGGTTTAATCCTGCGTAATAAAGCAAGTCTACTATTAATTGTTGAACACAAGTTGTCAATATGCTTGGTCCAAATTAAAAACTCGTCAAGCGTTAAACCCAACACTTTTGCTTGCTTCACCTGTGCAAGTATGTTGCCATTAAGAGTAACTGATAGAGAACGGTCTGAAGTATTCTTAAGTTGTTGGGGAGAATGAATGAGCATGGTCTTGGTTTTCAATGTATTAGTCACCATTCGGTTTTGTTGAGTCCATGTTGATAGATAGATAGATAGATAGATAGATAGATATTTAATAAATTTCTCCCTAAAAGGGTTTTTCAGAAATTATTTACAGTTACATGCATGCAGTAATAATTAAGGTTACAAATATAAGTTTAAACAATTATCAAAGACTATATACAAAGTTTAGTTGGTTATACTAAATGTTATCTTTTGCAAGCAAATGCTTTTTAAGTGCTACTTTAAAAATTTTAAGTGAAGAGCAGTCTTTCAAGTTCTTGTCTAAATTGTTCCAAATATGGACGGCTCTATATGTAAATGATCGTTGGCCAGCTGCAGTCTTAAATAGTGGTATTTGAAGAGAGTCGTGTGTACGAGTCCTACGGTCGTGGATTGATGACCTTTTTATCAATTTGTTACAAAGGTAGTCGGGTGCTAGGTTGTTCACACATTTATAAGTCAAACTGGCGTCTCTAAAATATAGTAGTTTGTCTACTGGGAGCCAATTCAATTCACGTAGAAGTGGAGTTACGTGGTCAAACTTCCTGGATTTCGTGACGATTTTGCAAGCAAAGTTCTGGATCGACTGAACTTTCTTCACGTTGGAGGCAGACGTATTCGACCACACCGAAGAACAATAAACCATTTTGCTGATGACCAAGGATGAAATGACTTCCGATAAAGTTTTTGTGTCGAAACTATTTTTTGCACGATTTATCTGACATAATTTGTTCATACACGACGAGACAAGAAGCGAGACATGTTTGTCGTAATTTAGGTGTCTATCTAATGTGACACCTAAATCTTTAGCAGAGTCCACTGGTTTAAGAGACTTGCCCAAGAATGAAATTGATGTGTCTGTAGGTAGTTTGCTCATCATCTGCCTTGTTCCGATCATCATGTACTTTGTTTTCCCCGGGTTAATTAAAAGGTGGTTTTCACAGCACCAACTTGCAACTCTGTGTAGGTCTCGCTCGAGATTTGCAATTGCTGCATCAATCTGACGTAATGGGAAGGAGAGGAGAACTTTCGAGTCATCAACGTACGATTCAAGGCTGGAGTCACGAGATACGGAGGGAAGATCGTTCAAGTAAATACAAAATAATAATGGTGAAAGCGTCGCACCTTGGGGTACTCCGTGAGTGATTGGTAGTGGATCAGATAGGGCGGAGTTGATGCGGGTGGACTGAAAGCGATCTGACAAGTAGCTTTTAAACCACTGTACTGTTGCTGGGGAAGCGCCGACATTCGCTAGTTTGTGTAACAATCTGTGATGGTTAATACTGTCGAAGGCTTTCGAGAGATCTAATAATACTAGAGCGGTGAGTTCCTTTTTGTCCATAGCCTCTAGCATCGTGTCGGTACTAAAAATGTTCAGGGTCTCTGTGGAATGGAGTTTTTTATTTCCGCTTTGATGAGGAGAGAGCAGGTTTTTGCTTATAAGATAGCTACTGAATTGTTCAAGAACATTTTTTTCACAAACCTATGGCAAGAAGAGATATCGGGCGGTTGTTTGACGCTACTTCGTGGTCTCCGTCTTTCACTATGGGAATCACTTCCGCTTCCTTCCATGCAGTAGGGAATGTATGAGAGGTTATAGAGCAGTTAATTATATGTGTTAGGGGTCCTAGTATAACAGGGAGACAGTCTTTGAGGATTCTAGAGTTTATCTTGTCTGGTCCAGGGGTTTTGTTCAATGGCAGGGATGCAGTGACACGGCGTACTTCTTCGCTGGTTACTGTTCGGAAGGAAAAGAGATCTTGGGAAGGCATATAAACGGTCTCTAAAGGTGTTTCTTCTACAGTAATGTTTTTCTCTTCTGCTAGACGAATTGACGCATCTGCTGCATTTTTGCCTACAGACGAGAAAAACTGATTGAATTCATCAGCGACTGTCTTTGGGTCTTTGGTGTAAGCATGATTTTCCTTACTTTTTGATGGTATGGCTTGATTGATAATTTTCCAAAGAGAGCCTGGGTTGTTTTTATGTCGCTGAACTTCATCCAAATAGTAATTTCTTCAGAATCTTTTAACATTCTCTTAACAGCTTTTCGAGCATCCTTAAAATTACTCCAATCAAGGTCGTCCCGAGTTTGTAAGTATAGGCGGTGTAGCTGGTCTCTGGTCTTCATGAGGTCCTTTATGTCCTGAGTTACAAACGGACAAGGACGGCTACGTACTTTGACTGTCTTTATAGGAGCATGCGAGTCTAGAGTAGATTGGATGGTTTGGTTGAATGTGTCTAACATACTATTTACGTCACCGTCGTTGAAAATAGATAATAAGCTGTCGTGTGAGCTTCTGGCGAGGTCAGTTATGAATAAACTAGGCGAATAGTTCTTGTAGCTACGAACGGTTATGTAATGAGGAGGATGTTTGCGAGATTTCAGCTTGAAATCGACATAGACTGGAAGGTGGTCACTTATTGTTGTATTTAAAACACCGCTACGACGTACTAGCGAGTTCGAGGAGACCAATACAACGTCTAATAAGGATTGAGTGGTATTGGTGATTCGTGTAGAAGACTTTATAAGTTGGCTGAGGTTCATTTCTTTAGCAAAGTTGATCAATGCTTTGGATTCTGGACAATTCTGTTTTAACACATCACAGTTTAAATCTCCGAGTATTACAATCGGCTTATTTAACGTTAGTGCTTGGATGTAACTTGGCTTGAGAACATTATCAAACGAGCTTAGTGGGGAATCATCCGGACGGTACGTTACACAAATTACGACTGATTTTGTCTTTTTACACTGTACACTGATCCACAACTGGTGAAAGTTGCGTTCAGATATGTAAGATATTTTATTTTAATAAGCTTTATTTGCATGACCTAATTACAGGTATTGCTAAGCGTAATAGTAAGTATATATAAATGTTAACTGGTGTATAAACTACTTTAACTAACTAAAAACAATATACCGCTATTTACATGTATAATATATCAAATATGAAGGATATATCATCATATGACAGAACAAATATCAAAATTTAAGAAAGGATTAGAAAGAGGATAATATAAAAAAGGGAAAGGAAAGTTATATAATATATAGAAACTTGTGACTTCTGGTTTAAGGGCTGTTGTCTCTGATATAAAAACATTTCGAAATATGCTCCGAAAATAGATCTGTTATCACAGGGTCATTCAAAGACATAAGATCACTTAATAATTTTCTCTTTAATTCATCAGTGATGCTCATATGGAAATAGTCTTTTAGGATGTTGTGCGAGTTATTTCGCAAATTCTCATATTTTCACATTCAAATGAAAAATGAAATTCATCTTCAACTGCAATTTTATTGCAGTATTTACACAGTCTCTCATGTCGAGGTACATCGCTATAACGACCGAACTCAATTTCTAGTTTATGATTACTTATACGAAATTTTGAGAACAGTCTTCTTTGATTAGGGTCTTTAATGATATTTAGATATTCTTCTAAGTTATAGTGGTTTTTAAATGTAGAATAGAATGACAATTTACTAGAGTTTTTAATTTGGTTTTTCCAAAATGTTGTGTAGTTATCTTTAATGGTTTTTACAAAATCGTGTATGTTTGTATCCTGAACAAATTTTTCAATATCTATTGTATCTTCGATATCGGGATGAAACTTTTTAATAATGCTTGCAGCATTAGAATAGAATGAATCTTTGCCGTTTGAGTAAAGTCTCTTTGATAGGTAAAAAGTTTGTTTCGCTATACTTGTATCTGGTAATTGACTAAGATGGTTAATGTAAGAAAATAATCTTTTGAATATGGGGATTAACAGAGGGAATTTACCTAATTCACCCCTACTAGCGACATTGCTCGCTTTCCTGTTCACACCTAAATAGAGTTTGCAGAATTTCAGATGTGTTTTCTCAGTACTAGTTTTGTCCCATTTAGTGAAATCGTTGTTACCATAGGCTCCCCAAATGCGTAGCCTTTTCACTGAGTTGCTGAGTCGCAACTGAAAATTTAGTGTTAGGAGTCAGTTTTAGACCGAGATAAGTGTGTTCGTTTGTGATATCAATACGTTTATCTCCCAAGAAAAAGTCGAGTGATTGTAGTTTAGAGTTATGTTTTTGTAGAATCATAACTTTGGTTTTTTTCAAATTAATATTCATTAGCCATTTTTTGCTCCATTCATTGAGGGAGTCTAAACAATTTTGGAGACCAGATTTTGATCTTGATAGTATGACAAGATCATCCGCATATAGTAGACTACTTAGCCTCGTTCCATTTGGTAAAAGAAATGGGTCTGGGTTTACTTTTTCAAATAGATTAGGAAGTTCGTTTATGTAAAGATTAAAGAGAAGGGGGCTTAAAACACAACCTTGGCGTACACCTCGATTGTATGAGAAGAAGGGTGTTCTATGACCCGATACTTTCACTGCACATCGAGTATTAGAATACAGATCCTTTATCAGATCATAGAAGCATCCTCCAATTCCATTTTCTAATAGTTTCAAATAAAGACCTTCATGCCAGACAGAATCAAAGGCCTTTTTAAAATCAATAAAGCATGCGTAAATTTTCTCATTATTTTGATTAACGTATTTATCATGCAACGTTTTTAAGGTAAGAATATGATCGGCTGTTCTGTTATTTGGTAGGAAACCAATTTGAGAAGGGTGTAACAATTCTCTAGTTTTTGAAATGTTCATCAGTCTTTCATTGAGGACAGAGCAGAAGAACTTTCCTAACGAGCTTGATACGCATATTCCTCGGTAATTACTTGGGTCTAATTTGTTCCCGGATTTAAAAATTGGTGAGATAAGTCCTTCACACCATAAAGTTGGGAACTTTCCGGATTTCATTATTGTGTTGAATACTTTTATAAAACCATTGGCAAGGATATCAGCACTATATATTTTATCATTTCATTGTTGATTTTATCTGAGTGTGCAGCTTTTTTAGATTTTATTTTCTTAGCTGTTTTTATTATTTCTTCAATTGTTATTTCCGCATCAAGCTCATTGAGAAGATTTTTCGAATTTTCCTTCTGTTTCAATTTTCCGATAATTTTTTCTTGTTCTTCACTAAGATGGTGATCACAATGTAGTTGTTCAAAATGTGAGTACCATTCATGATTTTTTGGTGAGTTTTCAGAATTACTTTCAGTATTAAGGTCGTCTGTCAAGTTCTTTAGTGTTTTCCAGAAAAGGTTAAAATCATTTTGACTAGCTGTTTCTAGTTCATTCATCTTTTTGTTGTGAAATTCACTTCGTTTGAGCTGTAGAGTTGCCTTATATGATTTCAAGGCATCGTGGTAGTTTTTTCTAAGTTCAACATTTGTAGGATCTCTATGTTTTAAATTAGATAATTTCCTTAAATCATGTCGTTTGATTCTACAGTCTTTATCAAACCATTTCCTTTGAGCAATGTTAGTGATTTTTCTTCTTCGTTTGCACTTTTTAATTTTCAAACTTTTTTTCGATGTTTCGAGTAAGATGTTTTGGAATTCGGTTACACATTGGTTTGCTCCGTTCAAATCATTTGTGAAATCTGAGTTCATAAATTCATTCAATTTCTTTTGCATTTCTTGTGATCTTAATGATTCTCTAAAGTTATTTTTAGAGTGGTTATCCCAAATGTATTGGTTTGGTAATTTAGTCATTTCAATATTACATCCAGGATTGGTATCTGGTTTTTCGTTTGTCTGACCAATACCAACCCATGTAACAATTTGACTATGGTCAGATAGGTATGTTGGTGGTTTTACAACAAAATAATTAGTATTTCTAAATAATTCCTGATCACATATGATGTAATCGACTACACTTATACCACTGTTACCATGGAAAGTAGCTCGTCCAAAGGAATCACCTTTTGTGCGTCCGTTTAAAATTTTCATGTCACAGTTTTTACATAGATTAATTAACTGTTTACCATGGTTATTAATTTGGTGGTCGAAATTTAATCTGTTTTTTGGTTGGAAGCAATTTTCACTAGTGTCATTTATAAAATTGTTGCCATCTTTAGAGATAAAGTCTTCGAGTGTATTGGTTCTAGCATTAAAATCACCAAGGATCATTATGTTTCCTTTTGATGAAAATTGTATAATATCATTTTCTAATTCATCAAAAATTTCATTTTCAAAATAAACAGATTTTTCTGGTGGAATATACACACCACATACAAATAGATCATTTTTTGCATTTAACACATCTTTTGATATTTTGCACCATAGAAAATTTTTCGAATTTTTAACAATTGAAGTAAATTTTTCAAATTTGGTTCTGGTTAGTAGAGTGATACCACCCGATTTGCGACATGCCCGGTTGGTATGAGGTTTTGCAGTATCAGAGACAAAAGACCTGAAACCAGGAACATCTATATTTGAGTTACACCAAGTTTCAGTGAGGAAAATGAAATCTATATTATTAATATGGTCAATGAAGTCCTTGTTTTTAGTTTTCTCACCAAGGACAACATTTGAAATACCATGGATGTTCCAGGTACTGAATGATAAGTTTGTAGACATTTATAAAAAAAACTAATAAGCAAGTTATCTATAGAATGACCAGGCATTTTCTAATATACTAAATATTAGGTTATCAAAATTTCAAAGTAATAATTTGAAGAGAAGGGGAAGTATATAGAAGATAATTAAGTTCATTATACTCAAGTGTTGCATAATTGTCTTATAACCATTAAATGTCATTCTTATGTTATATGACTTGTTGTTAATTAACATACCTATGTAGGTCCTTGATTAGTTGTATCAGTTGCATTGGTATTTCTTGTTTACTTTTATGATTTCCAAGTCTTGCTTCTTGGTTCCCAAGGAGTGTTGTCAGTTTTGGGATTGTTTGTTGATGGTAAGTCGAGGGATATTGATAATGGTTGTTAGGAATTTTTTGGTTGGAACTTTGCTGAGGGAAACTTGCTGGTGGAGGGTGAGGAGGATGAAAAGGAGTAGACTGGTGGTGAGGATTAAAGGGGAAGAAGGGTCGGTTATATGGGATCTGAGAATTCGGAAAATTCTTTCTTGGTTTGTATGGATTCTTAAAATATGCACGCTTCAGGCTCTGAGCGAAACGCTTGACTCCAACATCATTGAGATGTTTCTTGTCTTTCAGGTGGTATTTGGAGTTGATGTTGGGGTGTCTGACAAAGGTGATGTTTTTCTTTGTAGATAATGATTTCTCCAAACTATTGTTTAAGGTCATTCCCCTCTTGTCTAATTCATCACTTCTTGGGAGAATGGATGAAAAAATTATGTGGGATTCTGGGTGCTTAGTTTGGATAAGTTCCACGGTGTCGGTTGCATTCTTTATGAGTGTCTCATTTGTATCTGAGTGTTCTAAGTCATTTGTTCCAGTGTGGATAATGAAGGATTTAGGTGAGGTATATGTAGTACTGTTTATTATTGATTTTGCCTGTGCAAGGGTGGCACATCGAGTATAGCTTGTTTTGCTGTTGGGACATAATAATGAAGGGTTTAGATGTCGGCCATTACTATCGCAAATTAATATTGTATCGGCTTCATTCCTTGTGTTGTTTTGGCCCGATGTAACAGATTGCTGTTTTGAGGGGGATTTGTGTGTAGGTTCTTCGATGATGGATTCATCTGAGAGGGACAGGAATTTGTTTGAAGTGGGGATATCAGTATCCGATGCAGGGGAGTTTGATTCAATTGGTACATCATCAATTCGGCTTTCGATACTCTCGTTTAATGCTGCCAGTTTACCTATTAACATTGAGTTTTTCTCTTCAAGAGATTTATATTTATGATGCATTTTCTTTAATTCCTCTTCCATTTCTGATTGTCTTAGAGATAAGTCACTGGATAACTGTTGGTTTTTTGAGTACCCTGTCTTTAGGTTGGTAATCTCATTTTCCAAATTTTTAATTTGGATGTCTTTGTTGAATATGGTTGTGCTCAGTTCTGTGATGGTTTTGTTCGTATTTTGTTTAAACTCGATGAAGTCTGCCTCAAGGGTTGCCAAATTGGTCTTAACAGTATTAATCAGAGGTCTTTCTTTAGGTGAATGGTTTATGCTGCTATCCAAAGGAATAGGATGATCATGATCATGTTGTTGAGAAGTCGCTGGTGTCTGTTGGTTGGTGGTTTTCTGAGAAAGTGTTTTGGCAGTAAAATTGTTAAGATTTTTTGCAGGGTTGCTTTTCATAAGGTCTGGGTTATTGATCAGTTCGATTAATATGGGGAATTCTTCACTACCCCACTCTTTCATAAAGCGACCTTGTATTTGGATTCTTCCTTTGTTGACCATAACAGTGATACTGACTATATTTTTTTCGTTTTCTTGGGATGCCAGGGTGATTGTTACTTTGTCACATTTCGTGGGATCATTCGGGTTGTTTTCTTCTTCCCAGTGGGTGATTATTTTGCCGTCATTAAGGAAGCCATGTTTGTAGCGCAGATGCATTGCTTTGATCCATATGGGCAGTCTTTCTTCGGTCGAAGAAAAAGCTACGAGATTTGCATTTGGGTGGTAAATTGAGAAATCTAATTGCTCGAGAGGTACACGTTTCATATTCGTGCCTTTAAAGCTGTCAACTTGATAACGGCCGATGTCAAATTTATCTTCTTCGACATTTGAGTCGATCGATGAAATGGCTTTAGCGTGTTCATCCATATTTCTTTAAAATTCGCTGGTTTTCGTATAAAATATATTATTTCGTCAGACTTTGATCGATGCGAAGCTTTCTTCTAACTTTTATCTAGTATATTTCAATAATACCTGGTCAATCTGTATCGATAAATTAGCAAATATTCATTCTATAAACGCAGACGCTACAACGCACGTGTTTACGAATCGCAGATTGATCTTTCAAGATTACAGTTTTGAAATCTTTGCGAATATACGCGCAGACTCCTCCTCCTCGCTTGTGTAGACGATCAAGTCTAATAAGTTTATACCCGTCAATGTTTACCTCGGCTGATGTCACGCTCGTGTTAAGCCACGTTTCAGAAATGGTGATGATGTCAAATTTCGCTGAACGCACTAGTTCTCGAAGTTGGATAAGGTGGACATTATTCCGAAGGGAGCGTATGTTCAGATGGATAACTTTTATAAGGCCGGTGTTGACTGATATACTGTCCGTTTCAATCGGTTGATCCGCGCAAGTTAAATTGTGATTCTCAGGTTTGTTTGGTCTGATTAAAATCAGATTATTTAAGTTTAGTTCCTCGTATTGGGTTGGACAACTTGGCTAGGAACAAACTCACTGCGTCTTGATGTTTGTAATGACGCGATGTCTGCAAAACAGCTCGAGGGGTGATTATACGAGGGTGTATTGTTTTGATTAGGTGATATGCAAATTTGGCGACCATGTTGTGCACGAGGAATGTTTTGATCTCGAAGGTAAGCATTGCGTTCTTTCACTCTCCTTCCACTGCGACAACCTCGAAATGGTCTCAAGATTCCGAGGGAAACAAGGCAATTATAAAGAGAAGTGTCTATATACTTAGAGGAAGGCGACGAACGAAGACTTCGAAGGAATGACGGCTTATAAACATTGTTTGCGTTGACGGCATTCAAGCATGACGAC